TTCGGGCGTTTATTCAATCTTTAGCAGTCGATTCTGTCGTACATCTACGACGGGATTATAAATATCTTCATTAATAAGGCAGAAAGTCCAGTCAGCTCGACTCGGATATCAAGTCGTTAAGTCGTTAAATACTAATTCAGGCAGTTTTAGCAGTTCAGTTGATGCAAAAATTATGGAGAAAATTTTTTCAAGTATTTTATGTATTTTTGATCAGTTTTGATGTGAAATGGTCGTTATAGTATTTATGACTCTGATTTTTTTTTTATTTGGTAAACTATTTATTTTTCTCTTTTAGCATTTTATATTAAAAAATAAGTGGGAAATTGCTGTTGTATTGCACATAGTATAGTTATTTTTGCGAATAAATTAGCAATATGATTCCGAATGGTTATTTAGCACATCATTTCCTTCTAGCGTGTATAATTCATTGTTTGTTTCATTTTATTAGGTTGAATAAAATTTCTTTTCAACTAATTTTGTCAGATTTTCAACTTATTTACAGAAAATCAATGGAATATTTGATTTTTCAATGACAAGATTTCCTGAAATTTCAGTGGGATTTGAACACGATAAAAATTGCATGTAAAAAAAAAAATTCTCCATTTTTTTTAGAAAGAATAATCAAATCCATGAGAATAAAAATTTTTCGTTTTTCAATTGAATTGAAAAAAAAATTTCCAACTACCTAATAATGTTAATTTTTTTTATTGAATTTTTAAAAAAATTTCATCAATCAACGTCACCCCGAAACAATCATAAAAACCATCATAACTCCGGGATGATTGAATAAACAACAAAAAACCCCGGTGTCTTTGAGTGAAGCGCCACGACTCAGATAAAGATAGATGCCTCGGGTTTCCGGCGTTTGGAGTTAACGACTCGAGGCTTTATCTGTGTCGCACAACCCTCTCATATGTGTGGAAGGTTTTTCGTCGTCGCCGAATGAGAACTAAACAAAACGACGCGACGCGTATTAACGAGGCGAGGGCGTGTGCGTGCGAATAGTCAGGGGGAAAGAGAAATAAGACAGGAGAAAAGTCAGACATGAGTGAGGGAGAGAGTTGCATCGAATCATCTGGCACTCAGCGAGCATTCGAAATAGAATCGAGCCGCTGCCGGCTGTGACGGGACGGGAAAAATAAAGAATTAAGACTTAAAAAATGAAATGCAAAAAAATAAAAAGTTGTGGAACAAGACGAGGTGATTTGATGATGAGTTTTTGGCGAATAACACGGAAACTAAAGGAGATGGAGAAATTTTTGTCTCAACATTTTTTGGAGGAAATTTTCTCAGCTACAAAAAAGGTCTAGATGTGTATTTCGCTATCTCCTTTATATCCCGAGATATTTCCAAAAAACTAAAACTCTAGTTCATAACTTCTTCTTTTTCAGAAGATATTTAGTGATTTTAATTATAAAAACATTAAGTCAATTTGAAAATTTCTGAAAAATTGTGATTTGAAGAAAAAAAGAAACAAGTGGATTGCCTTTTTTAATAAATGAGTGTAATTATTATTGCTAATGAATTAGTAATTTGCTTCCGAATGGTTATTTCGCACATGATTTCCTTCTATCATGTATAATTCATTGTTTATTTAATTTTATTAGATTGAATGAGATTTCTTTTCAAGTAATTTTGTCAGACTTTCAAATTAGTTGAATGTTATCATCACAAGATCTATGCGCGCGCTCTCGCGCGCGCTGATCTATTCATTTGTTGAAATGAAGAAATGGAATTCATTGAATTTCATTTTCTCATGAATACCTTATAAATATTGATAATGAATCAAAGAGAATTCGACTAATGATTAAAGTGAATAGCGAAGTAGAGTAAAAGAATTTATAAAGAATTTTTCATTTTCAATTAATTATCTTCAATTTTTTTAAATAATCGGTCTCCATAAAAGGACAGAATTTATTAATTTCACCGATGATATATATACATGTGAAATATATATATTATATATATATGACGTGAAAAAAAAATTTACCACGGAAGAAGAATTTGAAATTATGTCACTGAAGAATTTGAAAATGCCGCATGTTTTTTTTTGTGAATAACTTCGTGTCACATATTGACCAATGAGAATTGAGGATTAGCGGTCAGGCAGTTTCGAGATATTTCGATATAAAACAACTTCACGTTTCTTTCATCTTTAGTAAAATAGGATCATTATTCGTATTATCCCTTTCTTCTATACAACCGATTGTCTTTTTTACAGTTCCATCATCAGCCGTGAGACGTCGGACGGATGAGTAATTTTTACGGAACAGATCGTAGAATTTACGTGACGATTGACACTTTTTATTGAATTTTACTTCGCTCCCAGATTACGTTTCGAAACGTGATTTTTACGTCTTTTTTCTGGTAGTTTTTATTGAATATTTCACTCCGTGTTCCATTCGGAAGTAAAAACACTTATTCTTTCTGTTTTCTCTTGAATGAACATCCCTGTCACCGATATTTTATTCTCCATTAATATTTACATCATCAACTTGAGTTATTGACTCGAAATAATATGAATACCCGGGACATTTGGCTTTATTAAATGCTTCCTGACATGAACAGCTTGTCGATTGCCCTCCCCAGTGCAAACGTTTATTAGCCTGTTTACGCACCGTGGGGTTCAAGTCTCTGGTTCGTTTGGTTTTTGAGCCTCAGGAGTGGGTAATCGAGATTTGTGGGCACTTGGTCAACAAGAGGGGGGACTCGGGTTTGTCTTTGCTAAGCAAACTTACAAATATATGTTCATGAGTATGAATACAATCTGCTAATATTTGCCGTTTGAATTTTCAGCAAATAGGGGGAGTAATATTTTATTTGCATGCGACGGTAATTTGAAATGTAAACGAAATCTTGGGACAACTGTTTCATTCATCAATTGTCTCACAATGCAAAATTCATTTAACATTTTGCTCGTGATTGAGATGAGTGGAAGAAAAATACTATTTTATTCTGAGAATATCTCGGGAATGAGTGGATTTAGAGAAAAATACCATAAGAGACGAAGTGAGGAGAATTTAATTTCCTATCAAAAAGATTTTATGACATTTTCTTCCAAATCCATTCGTTCTCTAGATTTTTCCAAAAATAATTAGACACTAAAATGTAGTATTCTCGAATTCATCAAAAACACATAATTCTAATTTAATAATAAAAACGGGAATTTATACAGGATATTTTAGTCATCATAAAAGACACGAGAATTTTCTGGGACAGTTGTTTCGTTCATTTGGTCGCAATACCAAATTTATTTGAAATTTTCTTCGCGATTGAGACAATAAAAAAAATGTAATTTTATTTTAGAAATATCTTACGAATGAGTGGATTTAGAGAAAAATGCTATAAGAAAAAAATGTGGAAAATTTAATTTCCTACAAAAAAGATTGAATGCCATTTTTTTCTAAATTCACTCGTTCTCCAGATTTTTCTCAAAATAATTATAAACAAAACTGTAGTATTATCGAATTCATCAAAAACACATAATTCTAATCTAATAATAAAAACGGGAATTTATACAGGATATTTTGGTCATCATAAACAATACGAGAATTTTTTGGGACAAGTGTTTCATTCAATTGATCACAATACAGAATTTATTTGAAATTTTCTTCATGATTAAGACGATTAGAAAAAAAAATGAAATTTTATTTTACAAATATTTCGAGGAAGAGTGGATTTAGAGAAAAATGTCATAAAAAAAAAATTGTGGAAAATTTAATTTCCTATGAAAAATATTTTGAGACATTTTCTCGTAAATCCAATAGATCTCTCGATTTTTCAAAAAACAATTGGAAACAGAAATGTATTATTCCGAATTCATCCATCTTTCCACTTAAAAAACACATAATTCATGACCCGTCTAATAATAAAAACGTGAATTTATGCAGGATATCTTAGCCACAGTAAATTGCCATCATAAACGACACGTGAATTTTCGAGATGAAGACCCAGAAATCTTTGAAGAGCTGGTTTTAGTAGTTTCCGCGTCATTGCCGTGTCTTCCGCCCGTGTCCAGTCGTCATCCCTCAAGCGACGCGTCCCCTCCCTCCCTCTGAGGATCCACTGAATCATTAAATGTTGAATGCCCCCTTTGATACCTAAACAGCGAGGGAACTCACTTCTTGAAACCAAATTGACTTCCCGAAAATTTCGCAAGTTTTCATCTTTCTGACTAGTTATGACAAAACCAATGAATTTTTTAAAATAATTGGCTGTATCCCGTAAAATTTCTACCAATTGATGACAAACTACTTGATTAATAAATTTATCAATTTAGTCAATTTATCGAGATTTATTCAATAAATATTTCAATTTTTAATTAAAATATGCATTTTCCATGTCAATGCCAAGAGACATTTTTTGCTGGAATTCAATTATTTTATCTCAATAAAGGATACCCTAGTGGAAAAACATAAGGCAGAGGCGTGACAAGCCTGATCAGAATTTCGGATCGGACTTGATTAGTTTCTGATCGAGACCTGAACAGAATTTCCACTCGGGTAGTTCAGGAAAACAACTGCTGAAATGTGGGAACAACTTAGTGCCAACATCACGCAGTTCTTCAATTGGGATTGATTTCCAAGCATTTGATTGATTTCCAAAAAGTGTTTTCTAGTTCGTGAGGATATATCACTCGTCTTCGGCTCGTGCTATAAATCTCCCACGAGCCAAAAAACACTTTTCCGCACTCGTATCGAAATATACTATTTCGGCACGGCTGTTTTACGTTCACCTCGTGCCGAAAAGTGTCGTTTACGAGTAAACGAAAAGTAAACGAAAAGTCGGTCGCCCATGTTATGAGGGCGATCACCACGCCACCATCGGTAAATAGCGGTCCCAATTATCTCACTGGGCACGAAAACTCGCTTCGATCGGTTAAATCGCGGTTTCTCGGGCCTAGCGACAAAATAATTTGATCTTCAATCTTTCTTTCTTTCTTTCTCTTCTCCCCGAAACCAAACTTCCCTAATTTCTCCTTTCAATTACTCAATTTCCAGATTATCGAGCGCTGGAGCAGGCAGTCCAGGGAGTTGCGGTGCTGGTGGTAATTCAGGAGCTGGCGAGGTAGCAGGAGCGCCCGGCGCAGCGCCCGGTAGTGGCGCTGCTGCCAACGGCACAGCAAACGACTTCTTCCGGCGTAGTCATCCACTGTCGGATCATACGCCCTTACATCCTTATCGTCTCAACTACATGGACCACCTTTATCACACACTTCAGGCCTCCACGCACAGTCCCAACGCCTCTCTACACGGTGAGTTGAATCACTTGAGGTACTTGGGGTTGGGAGAACCCGCATATCCGCCGGATGATTGAGAATGGGGTGAACAGGGCTTTTTGTTCTACATCCGTTTATTCGGGGATTTTTCATTTCAGGACTGGGTGGATTGGGGCCAGAGTACCTGCTGCATCCTGCTGGACCTGCTAGCACTCTCGCTTCGTCTGAATTTCCGTTCTCCATTGACGGTGAGTGAAATTATTTTCGTTTGGAATTTTCAGGTCTTGTTTCAGGGGGGATTTTCCGGAGAAAAAGTGAACTTATGAAAAAATGTCACAAGACATTTTTCGTTGGAAATTCAATCCTCTACAAAAAATGTCTTATCACATTTTCTCCTAAACCCACTTGTTCTCGAGATAAACGCGCCTGAACGACATTAGGTTCCCCTCGATCAGCAAAATTTCCAAATTTTTTCGTCTCATTTTTTACTCAGTCGTCCAAAAAAATTTCCAACAACATTCTTTGACAATATCGTCATCATTCATTGACACCAGACCAGTAAAAGTGGAAAAAAATTCTGGTCATGAAATAAACCACAGGGAGGTCTTGTCCCCCTGGGGTAAACGAAAACGCCTCTGCGGTTTCGACGTTTTAAGCGTCGATTTGCCTGACTGACCGCAGCCCCGACTGTTAAAACGTAATACGCTAACCACTCGATGTATAAAGACTGGGGGAAGAGGGTATTCAAGATGCGGTTCTGATCATCGGAGTCTTCTGTTTCATTCGGAAACTGGGAGAAGGGGATAAGGCGATTGGCAACGTGATACAGATCGCGATTTTTTTCAGTCGAGTTAATCGGGAGCGAAGAGTCTCAGGTGTATTGTGTTACTAACACGAATTTCATGTTAACAAAGTGGCCATTTTAGCCGTTCTGTGGGAGAAAAGTTTTGAAGGGGTTATCAATCATCAGTTCATTGGCAACAATTTTTTTTTTATAAATATGACGATGAATTAGTGAGAGTAGAGCGTTTTGGGGCAGAGATCGGCAGGAAAATAATTTCCATTATTAATATTTCATTGCCATGTCAGAAGTTGATGAAAAAATGAATTATAATTGTTTTTGTAATTAATCATTCAGTAGCGAAATGGTAAAACGATTTACGTTGACTTAGCTCTCAGCTGAGTTTTCGCGGAATATCTCCAAATCTAAGGGAGATAGCGAAATTTTCGTAAATATCTTTTTTGTAGCACTCAATGTGCCCCACAGAAAAAGTTATAACGAAAATTTTGCCATCTGCCTTAGAATCCCAGATATTCTTTAATAACTGACGAATAGCCAAAATCGACTTAAACTGTTTTACCACTTCGCTACTGAATTATACTACACTGAGAGAAAAACGACAAAGTTCTCAAACAAGTCTTATTTGAGCTAAGAAAATAGTTTTTTGTAAATCATCAAAAAAGGATTTTTTTGTGCCAAACATGCAGAGAGTGCACCGGAATGAAAAATTTTTGTCGCAAAAATAGATTTAGCAGTTCAAAACAAAATGCATTCTCTGTACACGCAAGAAATGTCATTTCTAGCACTACTCCTTCATTATTCGATACTCGCATACGTATTTTACTCCCGAAAAATCTTTGTTTTATGCGAAACAAGGGATAGTAGTTTTTTGTTTTGGCTGTCTAATAATCGCAGACAAAAAATGAACCCTTAAATGAAACAATAATAATGGTATGATGTTTGTTGATAAATTTTCCTCTATATGAGATATTTTCATCCTGAAAAGGCACCGTCTGGTATGAATTATCCGCCTCTTGAGCCAAATATTTCGTTACTGTCGAAAGCAGAACAATTGTTCGTGTTTGAGACTTTCCAATTCGAACTGAACAAATTCTTTTTTGCCAATTTTCAACTAGCGATTTTGTTGGCCCAAATACGACTTGTTTGACAACGTGTTTCTTTTTCTCTCAGTGCACCTGTATTTTTCATTGCTATATTAATGGAAAATGAAAATGAAAAAAAGAAAGAAATAATTTGTTAATCAATAATGCTACAAAATTTATTTTCCATTGTCATATTCTTGTTATTAAACAAAAATTTGACACAGCGTTCTTAATAATATTTTCCACGAGATATATTTTTATCTAATTGTTTATTTAAAAAACACCAATAATATTCACTTGTTTCGATCATTTTTTTTTTGCATAACTAACCATCCTTTCTCAATAATAAAGCCCTTCTGAAATTTTGGGATTAAATGCATAACTTTTGAGAACTATCCAGAGGATTCTGTACCGTTCTGGACCTTTCTTTAACTTTCTAAAACCTTCCATGAATTTCCGGAGAAACGGACATCTCAATTTATGTAGAGTAAAATTTTTGGTAATTATGTTCTGTGGAAATTTTCTCACGCGAGTTTTATCAATTCTCCATCAATTATTTGCTTCAAAAAATTCCAAACACTTCCCTAAATACCCCACCACTTTCGAAACCCCTAATAAACAATCAACAATCGTCCCCAAGCAACCCATCATTCCCCCCAGAATTCCATCCTTACACTCTGTCCCCCCGATGTGAATCTCCCGACTCCAGCGAGACGATATCGACACTGAGATAGGCTAATGCGCGACCATGAGACTCCAAGACAATATCTCCTTGTCCACACACCCATAAAACCCCATCGAAATTCAAATGCACGAAACAGAAGAGAACAAGAACCAAAAAAAAGACAAGTACCTCTTCTTCCCCTCTTTCTCACCCTCCCCCCCGCGCTTTCTTGAGTTAGGTGGGAGTGAATTCAGCATTCAGCACCTCCCCGAACAGGTACAGAACGCAGCATAAGCCACAACTATATGACCAAGTGCTTCATAAGAAAGTGAAAATAAAATAAAGGAATAAGCAGGAAAAAAATAACGGAAAATATCAACTAAAACCCGAGAAATTTTGTTTTTTTTGTTATGAAGAAAGACTGGATAAAAGGAGAGAAGAACATGCTAAGAAAATCAAAAATAATAATTAATGGAAACACGAGAATTTTCACTTTTGTGTAAGCTTTCATTGGTTAGTAAAATAAACTGCATATTCTAAAATTCTTTTCCACTGCGTCCCAATAAAACAGAAGATCATGATGCCATAGATTCACTTATGGAACTACTGCGCAGCCTTCTGCGCAGAGTTTCTAACCATCTCGATTGCGCATGCGAGATATGTTGAGTTTTCAAAGGTGGAAGAAAGAGCGAAACAGAAAATTGAAATCGAATAGTCATTGGAATGGGATTTAGGTGCCTGAATTAAAAAAACAAGTTGATATCTCGATTTTTGCATAAGCTAAAGTGATTACAATGTTTTTTATGAAAAGAACGGAAAAACGGGAATATCGCGAAAACTGCATGAGCGGGCGTATATATTTTGCTTGGATTTAGATAGAAGGGATTAAAACGAAGATTTATAAAACAAAAAAATCGAAATCGGTCCACTAGTTTTGAAGATATTTACGGAAATCGAGTTAAAAACGAAACGCTTTTTTTCAAAAACTATTAGATTGATCGGGCTCATCAAGATTTATAATCTAACCAAATCTTACATTTTTTGGGATTACTTTAACCACTTAATTGATCACGAAGATCATGATGCCATGAATTCACTAACGACGCTATTGCGCAGTCTTTTGCGCAGATCTTCGGGAAAGGAGGAAAACAGAAAATTCAAATCGAATAGTCATTGGAGGGGGCTAAAATGCCTGAATTGAAGAAAAAGAACATAAAATGAATAGAATCCTTTTCTACTGTGTCCTAACATCATCGAAGATCACGATGCCATGAATTCACTAATGACACTACTGCGCAGCCTTCTGCGCAATCTCTTTCGGTCCAGCTAATCACAATTCTTGGATACTCAGACAATTCATACCCAATATCAAACTGAATAAATAAAGTTCGCGGAACGATTATCATTGCTACCAGCGAATTGAAATGAAAAGTATCTCCATCAGTTAAAAACGATAGGATTAAGTTATCACCTCACACTGCGCATGCGTGATATGTTGAGTTGTCAAAGGTGGCGGAAGGAGGGAAATAGAAAATTCACATCGAACAGTCATTGGAGGGAAGCTGAAGACACTTAAAAAAAAACACGTAACAAATAAAAAAAACCCTTTTTCACTTCTTTGTTATGGAAAAAAAGACTGAATAAAACAAGAGAACAAGACCAATCGAATGTGGAGGGATGAGGGGATGAGGTGCCTCGTTAGCCGCCACCATGCGCGCATAATTGAATCGACTCGGAGCGACACGACCTCATTAACACCTTTACCTCGAGCTGACTACAGGTTGTCTCACGTTTCCAACTACTCTCCCTCCCCCCATCCCCCTCCCTTTTTTTTCGATAGGATGAGCGAACATTCACGTGGCTACCAGTCCGAGTTTATCACTCTCTGGTGTAGTTTAATCGCCGGTAATCGGGGGTAACAGATCTTAATTATTGATCGGTGGAGTTTTGGAGATGGTTGGGAGGATTTTTTCGGTGGGTGGGAAGTGGTGGGTTTTGGAGATGGAGATGGGATCGGGATTGCGGGGATTTGCATGTCTCAATTCGTGGGATGGGACGATGCATATTCATGGTCTCTGGGAATTATGGGGGAGGAGTTTTTTGGTGGGTTTCGAGGGGATTCTGATGAGGGAAAAATGAGCGGCTTTTTTGGTATGAAACCAATCATTAATGGGATAATTTCGTAATATATAAATATATTAAGAGGCCTCGGTAGTAATATGAAACTGGTAAAATGTGGAGAAAACTTGGCGGGATGAATTCTCAGCGAAAAGGGGATGGAAAGATTAGAGGAGCAGCTCGAAAAATTATTTATTTTCGGGGAATTTCCAGATATTTTTTAAAATTATTTAAAGTTATTTATGATCTTCAGATCATCATCAACTCGCTTCATTCGGTTTTTGTAAGAAGAATAATTTTGTTAAGCCATCTCTCTGATTTTTCTCATCCTCTTCTGATTGAGAACTCATAGTGCAATGTTTTTTCCACACTTCAGTAATTTTTTACTCCGAAAGGATCTTGAGATGAATAATCGAATGAAAATAACGATTTAAAACTGGTTTGCATCACGATTAACTATTTAAAATGCTGTTTTTATTTAGAGGATAAACAATTTTAAGAAATGTTTTAAAAAACTCGTTGCATACTTCCTTTCTCTGCCGCATGGAGCTTTAAAGATGGTGGCGCCTCCACCTCGTATTTTCAAACATTTTTAAAAATTATTTATCATTTTCAGATGATTCTAAACTTGTTTCGTCCTGTTTTTATCAGAAGAATAATTTTTTAAAGCCATCTTTCCAATTTTTCCGTCCCCTTTTAACTGAAAATTCATAGTGCAATGTATTTCTTACGTTTCAGTCATTTTTTTTGGTCCCGAGTCTCTTGAGAAAAATCATAAAATTAAAATAACATTTCATTTCAAATAGTTAATTATGATGAAATACTATTTAAAATTGTGTTTTCATTTAATTTTTGTTAAATAGTCCAAAAAAATAGTCTACATTGTTAAAAAAATTTGGCAGAATTTTTGGGAAAAAGGTGAATTCGATTCAAGGAGAAAAAGTCAATGGAATATCAAATTTCTCTGAAAATTCAAACAAAATCCCAATTTTCTAGCCGCAAGTAGAGGAAAATTTCACAATTTACATGATTTTTGAAATGAAAATGAATATTCAGTACCCAATTCCCTTGAATTTTCATCGAATTCCTTTAAAATTTTTGGAATTCCACGAGTTTTTGAAGAAATTTCCTGCGAAATCAGAGAAATCTGGAATTCACGGAGAGATTCCTCTGAATGTTCCCGATTTTTCATTAACGCTCTCAGAATAATTAAACTAGCCCGGTGGCCTGGCGTAGTGGTTAAGGCCGTTGCCTCACAACGGATAGGTTCCAGGTTCGATTCCTGGCCGGGTAGAATGGTGAGATCTAACCATTTTTAAAGTCTTGATCAATCGCCATATAGTCTCATCAGACTCGGAGCGATATAAAATAAGCATAAAAAAAAAAAGAATAATTAAACTGAAATTTACAGTTTCCACGGGTTTTTCCATGAAATTATGAATTTTCTATGATAAAATTCCTTGAAATTTCAGTGGAAATATTACTTCTTAGAATTTTCCAAGACTTACCAAAAATTTCAGTGGAAAATTTTCAACTGTGTATTTAATTTCATTTGATTGATGTTTCGGTTTTATTAATTTTAAATTCATCATTCAGCTTTTCCATGAAATTATGAATTTTCAATGACAAAATTCCTTGAAATTTCAGTAGAAATGTTCCTCGTTAGAATTTTCTATGACTGTTACCGGGAATTTCAGTGGAAAATTTTTAACAGTGTATTTAATTTCATTTCGTTGATGTTTCGATTTTCACAATTTCAGCTTTTCCATGAAATTATGAATTATGAATTTCAATGACAAAATTCCTTGAAATTTCAGTGGAACATTTTCACCAGTGTATTTCATTTCATTGCCCTTTCTATTTTATTAATTTCAGTTTCATCATTCAACTTTTCCATGAAATTATGAATTCTCAATGACAAAATTTTTTGAAATTTCAGTTGAAAATTTTCACCAGTGTATTTAATTTCATTTCATTGCCCTTTCGATTTTATTAATTTCAGTTTCATCATTCAGCTTTTCCATGAAATTATGAATTCTCAATGACAAAATTCCTTGAAATTTCAGTGGAAAATTTTCACCAGTGTATTTAATTTCATTTCATTGCCCTTTCTATTTTATTAATTTCAGTTTCATCATTCAGCTTTTCCATGAAATTATGAATTCTCAATGACAAAATTTCTTGAAATTTCAGTTGAAAAATTTTACCAGTGTATTTAATTTCATTTCATTGCCTTTTCGATTTTATTAATTTCAGTTTCATCATTCAGCTTTTCCCTGAAATTATGAATTCTCAATAACAAAATTCCTTGAAATTTCAGTTGAAAATTTTTAACAGTGTATTTGATTTCATTTCATTGCCCTTTCGATTTTATTAATTTCAGTTTCATTATTCAGCTTTTCCATGAAATTATGAATTCTCAATGACAAAATTCCTTGAAATTTCAGTGAAAAATTTTCAACAGTGTAATTTCAGTTCATCATGTTTCGATTTTATTAATTTCAGTTTCATCATTCAGCTTTCCCATGAAGTTATGAATTATGAATTTCAATGACAAAATTCCTTGAAATTTCAGTGGAAAATTTTCAACAGTGTAATTTCATTTCATCATGTTTCGATTTTATTAATTTCAGCTTCATCAAGACTGGGCAGTCCACGAGCCTCGGCAATCCGGGCGAGTCGGAAACGTGCCCTCAGCAGTTCTCCCTACTCAGATCGTTTCGACATTGACAGCATGATTCGCTTCAGCCCCAACAGTTTAGCAACAGCAATTGTCAATGGCTCACGAAGTAGCAGCGCCAGTGGCAGTTACGGTCACTTATCCGCAGGTAAATATAAATCACCACTCCCTCATTACCATAATTTATTTTTTTCCCCCCTTCAACACTGACGACACCTCGCGACATTAACGAGTTTTCGTTCAACTGTTGAATCGTAAAATGACTTACCGAACGCAGGGGGGGTTTAACTCTTTCTCGAGTCCTCTGGAATCTCGTGCCATGCGACTCTAATAATACTCCCCCTTCCAGAAGCCAAACCAGGGTCTTTGGTGTCTTTTACGATTGTAGGGGCGCGAGAGAATGGGGCAGATCACCTCTGGTATCAACTTCCGGTTTATCCAGCCACTGAAATTTCGTCGTTAATTCCTTTGTCGGGTCGTCAACCCTGGGGATGTCATATTTAGAGAGAAGTTGATGATGAAAATGCACTGAGAGAAAAACGAACAAGTTCTCGAACAAGTCTTGTTTGGGCCAACAAAATCGTCAGTTGAAAATTACGAAAAAAATCGTTTTCTGGATCGAATTTGAAAGTTTCAAACATGAATAATTGATCTGCTTTCAATAACGACCGAATGTTCGTTCAATGTTTGTTCATGCAAGATGGTGCCTTTTCTATTTTTTTGAAAAGACTAAATCTATTTTTGCAATAAAAATTGTCAATCTTTCGCCACATTGCGCATGTTTGGCACAAAAAATCTTTCTTTGATGATTTTTAGCAAGCTCTGTTGTTTTTCTCGCAGTGTAGATGAAGCGATTTCGGAAGAGAAATTTTTTGGTTCTGTTTCTCGTGGATTGGAAGGGAGTCGAACGATTCATTGAATGTTTATCGATGCGATCTCATCAAAAGATTTTGTTAATTATAACATTACGAAGGAAATTAGTATCAAGAGATATATTGTCTTGACCCAACTATTTCTAACATGACTAAAAATTAACAAAATTTCTATTCCGATACCATTCCGATAACTCTTTTATATCGTCGCATTAACATCAAAGGGGCGTAAGTGCCAAAAAACCCATTTTAAATGTGAAAGGGGCGTATGTTCCGAATTCCTGTTTTTTCTGTTTTTCATGAAATTTCTGACCAAAAATCGGAAAAAAAAAATCTAGGAAAAAGGCGTAATTGCCATATTTCAACGGGAAAGGGGCGTATCTCCACACTTACGCCTGTTTCATTTCATTCAAAAAATGACACTTACGCCCTTTTTACATTATGTGTTGTGCACTTCGGATGACACATTTCATGTTGAAATAAAACGAAAAGGGCGTAAGTCCCACATACGCCTCTCTCTCATTATATCTTAGGTCTACTCGCGATAATGAGTTTTATATTGTTATATCAACATAAAACGCTTTAACTATTTTCTTCTTCCTTTATGGTCTCATTTTCTTCCGAAGTGTTCAAAGCAGTCACGACTCGAAATTTCATACAGATAATTTCCTGAAATTCGCAGTCATAATTTAAAAAAATGAAATAAATTAATGAATGAAATCGAATAAATTTAGAAGAAAATTTTAGAAAATTTTAGTTTAGTTACTGATATTTCTCATGAAATTGTTTCATTCAAGCAAAAAACCAAAGGGAAATAATTTGAACATTCATTATGAGACAGAGGGAGGGGAGGTTAATGTAGAATCAAATATTATTTATTATTAGGGCTGTAGTGCATGTGATTCCGTTTATACTTGATGAATCAATAGGAACGAACAGTAACAAATGAAGGGACATATATATTGGAGTTACGCCCCTCTGTGATTATTGCTTCAAAAACAAAGGGACGTATGTGCCTGAGTTACGCCCCTTTGGAATTATTCATTCTCAATATGAGCTAGAAAAGAAACAAAAAGTATAAAAAGAAAGAGGCGTATGTGCTGGAGATACGCCCCTTCAGTACTTGCTAGTCGGACTTACGTCCATTTGCCACTTCAGAAATTTGTCCACAAAAAACCTTTCATAAGTTGAGAAAACTCCATTTCGAAGAAAAAAAAACATACGCCCCTTTGGTATTAAGAGAAAAAAAAAATCTCAGAGAAATGGCACTTACGCCCCTTTGATTTTAATGCGACGATATAATAAAAACCACCAAAGAAACATTTTTACAAAGAATGAAATTCTCAACAACAAATTTGAAAATAAAAATGCAAAATCCCTTGGAATTGATCGTTTCCCTTTGTTCCCTCATCATCTATTATTTAAATAATAGATTCCAACGTCAATAGCCAACTTATTCCGATTTTGGAAAATGAATTTTCTCGTATTTATTTCCATAGATTTCAAAGAAATTGAACAATTTATAGAATATTTATTGAAGCTTTTTGACAAGGGTCAGAAGCTTTTGTTGGTTAGAAAGTTCTGAAGGAAATTAGTGGCAAGATATATTTTATCCTGAACCCATTAATTTTTTACATAATTAAACAATTAACGGAATCTCTATTCGGACAATTCCGACAAAACTCTTTCATAGTATACAAAATTAAAAAAAAAACATACTTTTTAACAAAGAATGAAATTTTTAACAACAAATTTGAACAAAATTTGCATAATCCTTTGGAATTGATCGTTTCCCTTTGTTCTCTCATCATCTATTATTTAAATAATAGATTCCAACGTCAATATCCAACTTATTCCGATTTTGGAAAATGAATTTTTTCGTATTTATTTCCATGGATTTCAAAGAAATTGAACAATTTATAGAATATTTATTGAAGCTTTCTGACAAGGGTCAAAAGCTTTTGTTGANAAAAATCTCAGAGAAATGGCACTTACGCCCCTTTGATTTTAATGCGACGATATAATAAAAACCACCAAAGAAACATTTTTACAAAGAATGAAATTCTCAACAACAAATTTGAAAATAAAAATGCAAAATCCCTTGGAATTGATCGTTTCCCTTTGTTCCCTCATCATCTATTATTTAAATAATAGATTCCAACGTCAATAGCCAACTTATTCCGATTTTGGAAAATGAATTTTCTCGTATTTATTTCCATAGATTTCAAAGAAATTGAACAATTTATAGAATATTTATTGAAGCTTTTTGACAAGGGTCAGAAGCTTTTGTTGGTTAGAAAGTTCTGAAGGAAATTAGTGGCAAGATATATTTTATCCTGAACCCATTAATTTTTTACATAATTAAACAATTAACGGAATCTCTATTCGGACAATTCCGACAAAACTCTTTCATAGTATACAAAATTAAAAAAAAAACATACTTTTTAACAAAGAATGAAATTTTTAACAACAAATTTGAACAAAATTTGCATAATCCTTTGGAATTGATCGTTTCCCTTTGTTCTCTCATCATCTATTATTTAAATAATAGATTCCAACGTCAATATCCAACTTATTCCGATTTTGGAAAATGAATTTTTTCGTATTTATTTCCATGGATTTCAAAGAAATTGAACAATTTATAGAATATTTATTGAAGCTTTCTGACAAGGGTCAAAAGCTTTTGTTGATTAGAAAGTTCTGAAGGAAATTAGTGGCAAGATATATTTTATCCTGAACCCATTAATTTTTTACATGATTAAACAATTAACGGAATCTCTATTCGGACAATTCCGACAAAACTCTTTCTTAGTATATAAAATTTAAAAAAAAACATACTTTTTAACAAAGAATGAAATTTTTAACAACAAATTTGAACAAAAAATTACAAACTCCCTTGGATTTGATCGTTTCCCTTCGTTGTCCCATCACCTATTCTTTAAATAATAGATTCCAAGATCAATATCCAACTCCTTCCGATTTTCTAAAATGAATTTTTTCGTTTTTATTTTCATGGATTTGAAGCGAACTGAACGATTTATAAATTTTTATTGAAGCGATTTTTGTCAAAAGCTTTTGTTAATTAGAAAGTTGTGAAAGGAATTAACCTCAAGATTAAACACGATTAAAACATAATTAAACACGTTTTAAAAATTAACAAAATTTCCATTCGAATTTCCATCCGATAAGTCTGTTCTATAATACAAAAGATTAAAAAGAACTAAAACAAAAAAGTAAAATTCTCAATAAACAATTGCAAGACAATTCGCAAAATCCTTTGGAATTGATCGCTTCCCTTCTCTCTCCCATCACCTATTGTTTGAATAATAGATTCCTAGATTAATATCCACCTCATTCCAATGCACTAGACAAACTTCCGACCGCAAATCCCCTCTGCATCCCAATCATCCCACCGATCCCACAGCTATACAATTAACCATGCATTCCAATCGGTGATAAAACCCTGTCATAACACCTATTCCGCGAATGAGATTTGAATAAACATCGACGAGGGCGGGCGATTGTACATTAATCAAATATCAAATATCGTTTGTGCGATGGAGATAAAAATTGATGCGATACTCTTGAAGTGTTCGTCATGCCGTACTCTGCTTGTTTAAACTGTTATGACTAGATTACTGCGAACACTAATATGGTTGTCCTGTGTGGGCTACGTGACCGGTGTACGTAATCCAATTACGTATTTTCTTGTTGGTGATTGAGTGAGGAGGAGCAAAATGAAGAGATGAAAGTAAATTAATGGAGGGGAACAATTTCAAAGAGTCTTTTTTCTTCGCTTTTCTCTTCCGCATTTTTAAATGTTTTTGTTGATTTTTTCTATGATACAAATACTTGTGAAATGTTCCTGTTTTTTCATTATGAATTTTTTCCTGTTAAATTTAATATTTCTTTTTTCAATGAATTGTTTATTATCTTCTTATAATAAATGATTTGCTCATGTTCTAATTTCTATGCCCACTGGATAAGATTTTAATCATAATTACAATTATATTCCTTCTAGAATATACTTTAGAGCGTGAATTTCTGGAATTCAATGTTTGTTGATACTCTGGTAAAAGTGCGTGCCCACACTGTTATCAATTTTTAGGTAGTTCACACGGTAATTCAATTAATCTGTTGTTAATCTCATCAATATACTTTCAACACCAAATTAAAAATTAAAACTTCATTTGGAATATTGAGTCACAGCTTCTTTTTATTCATATCAGAAATTTTGTATTTGGATATTAATATTATTTGTTCATAGTGACAAAATCGATCATCATTTTCTGTATATTGCATTCAGATTCTCCTACTCTTAACGTCAAAAATGTGAGATAATCTCATAATTCTAGCTATTAATTCTAATCAACTTCGTTCGAAGACAGCTTTAGTAAACACAATATTAAGAAAGTTGAATTATTCTATTTTCCTCTGACCTAAATAATTTTGACGATTATGATTCGTTTATTCATGTTTCATAGAATGGTATTCAATTCTCTTTTGTTTGTTAGGGGGGTTCATGAAAATTCAACGCAAGACGATTGCAGATTAATTTATACTATGTTATTTTATTTTATTTTCTTTCCATTTCCGTCTTCACTATTAGATTAACTTAATTTTACTCATTCTTACTGTTATTACATATTTTTTTGTTCCTTAATTCACCAATTACGACATTGAATGATGAGGAATTCCCCATAACCCACGTGAGAATACAGATCGACAAACAATTTTTGATAATCATACCTAAAATTTTTCATTTCTTTCTTTTTCTTTAAATTAATTAGTAGCAATGATCTCAAAATGTCAACGAATATGAAAATTTTACACCCTTTTGATCTCATTTCAATGGAACTGCAGAATGAAATTACAGAGAGATCGATCATCATCAATCAGTATCAATAAAATGAAAACATCTATTTTTATATGTCTTTGCGAAATTTCTCAAATTGGCTTTTTCTTTGTAAAAACTGAAGGGAGATTAACATTTTTAATTTCTGTGATCGTATGTCATTCACAGAAACAGGAAATACGGCAAATGTCGGGAAGGAAAATCAGAAATAAATTAAAAAAAACGATTTTTCGATCTTGAAAATTCCAAAACGCTTTTTTTAATAATAAAGAAAAACCAGAGTATTTTCCTTCTATTATCTAATTCCGATGAAAGAGGAGAAGAAACGAGATCACCACGAAAGCAGAATTTTCAATATTTCAATGTCTAGGGAAAATTTTAAAATTGATATATTTTTTCAAATAATGAACCAATGCATAAAAAAAATAGCAAAGAATTCAAATCGCCGATGAAAAATTAATCGGATTATTATAATGTAATGATTTAAAAATCACACCTAAGGGAGAACGACTCCCCCTCTCACCCGCTAATCCCCAGCCCCTGTAAGACCTCTAAAAACTAAAAATTGTTCAACAGCAATGTCTCCAGCCCTGGGCATGCACCCAGGCATGGCGCCGCACTTGCAGCAGCTCCAGGCGCACTTTCTGCGTAGTGCAGCAGCTGCAGCGCTCCTCCCCCACCCCCTCCAACCCTCGCCGCCGCCCCCTCACCCCCACAGTCACCCGCACCCGCACGGCCTGACGCCGCACAGTCAGCTGTTCTCGGTTCCCCACTCCTCGGCGTCGGCAATAGGACCGCACGACGGAGGGCTTCCGCCCAAGACAGACCCCGGGGAGGCCTGCAGAAGGGCCTCGGAGTCCTCCAGCAGGTCGATAGCGGCCGAGGCCGACACGTCCTCCCGACGGCACACTAAAGTCAAGAGGGAGCCGGCGACGACGACGACGACGACGACGACAACAGCTGTGACCCATCCCCAGGGGCTGAGCCCCAGCGAGGACCTGAGGGACGAGCCCGGTGACTTCATCGAGACGAATTGCCACTGGAGGGACTGCGGCCTCGAGTTTCCTACGCAGGACGATCTCGTCAAGCACATCAACAACGACCACATCCACGCGAACAAGAAGAGCTTCGTCTGCGGGTGGGAGGAGTGCTCCAGGGAGGAGAAACCCTTCAAGGCGCAGTACATGCTGGTGGTGCACATGAGGAGGCACACCGGGGAGAAGCCCCACAAGTGCACCTTCGAAGGGTGCTTCAAGGCGTACTCGAGGCTGGAGAACCTGAAGACGCACTTGAGGTCCCACACCGGGGAAAAACCGTACACGTGCGAGTACCCGGGCTGCAGCAAGGCCTTCAGCAATGCTAGTGACAGGGCGAAACACCAGAACAGAACGCACTCCAATGAGGTGAGACTGGCGTTATTCTTTATTCTGTTTTAGAACATTCTTGAATTTAGGTGATTCTTATAGTTTAGAAACTCGAATTTCCATTAACCGTCCAGCAATCAGGGATGGCCATAAATAATAGAGGAATCTGTGACTTGCATTTATAAAGGTTTAAATATTCCCATCAAAATATAGAAATACTGTCATATTTATAATTTAAATTTGCGATCGATGATGAATTGAATATTTGATAATATGGCACTGTGAATTTTCCATTAAGTAAATAATTCTAATTTCTCAAAAGGGATTACCAATTGACCAAATAATCAGCAATCTTCCTACCTAAATTATTGATTAATAAAATAGTTCAGAACTTGAATGTCTAATTTGATGATTATTAAAATAATTAAAAATTCAAGAGTGACATTAACTATAGAGATGCAAATGCGGGTCACATGACCCGTCATATGACGGTCACATTCCCCCTCCCCCTTCATGACCGTCGCAACTTGTCAAGAAAAAATGACAGTCACTTTTCATCTATATTTTTTTCTCGGTCAATTTTTAGTTGAATTCCTTTTGTATTGGCCTAATCCGCATTTTGAAATGGAAATCACGTTTTTTTTCCATCCATGTAGGTGAAACTATTTTGTTTTATTCATGACCGTCACAAATTGGAAATTAGTTATGACCGTCATTATCCAACTATACAGATGGTTTGACAACAATTTGGTTACAAATGATTTGTGACAATTATTTGTAGTTGGAAAATTTGTGCCTCACATGACCGTCATTTTTCGGTCATATGACGCGATCTAAAAAATGACGGTCATTTTGCATCTCTAATTAACTAAATGACAGCTTCCAAATTTACCGATAATTATGAATTATAAATATGGCCATTCCTGCCAGGAATTGGCTGTTCGCCCCACAATGCTTGCATTCGGCCGCAAAAGATGAGAATCCCCCAAAACATGACAAACCGAAATATTTTTTCCGTCTTAAACCCCCAAGCCCCAATCCTCATTAGCTATTCCCTCCCAAAATTGGGGCTTCGCCCAGTTAATAACCTTCATCCTTCTGTCCAGAAACCCTACGTTTGCAAAGCCCCGGGCTGCACAAAGCGCTACACCGACCCCTCCTCCCTTCGCAAGCACGTGAAGACGGTTCACGGTGCCGAGTTCTACGCGAATAAGAAGCACAAGGGCGGTGGTGACGGTGGTGGTAGCGACGAGGCAGGCGCAGGAGGCAACTCCCCGAGCAGAAGTGAGGACCTGCACCCGAAGACCCCGAGCCTCTCTTCGCCCTCCGTGAAATCCGAATCGGAGGCGAACAGTCCCCCAGGGATGATTCAGCAGCAGGGAAGTCCCCTGGTCGGTGGTTGCACCGACGAAATCGGTATGACAGTGGACGGAGTGATGCTGGGAGAGGACAACTGGGTGGAGGAGTCGGACGATCTCGACATCGCGGACCTCCCAGTGGCCCTGAGGGCTATGGTGGGGGGAATCGAGAGCCAGCAGGCGCCGCCGCCCTCGAGGAATCGAATGAAGGGGCGACTCAGCGCCAAGCCTGTCCCCTCGATGAATGTTGGGGGCAGGGGGAGGGTCCCAGGGCCCCAGGGCAACATCGGTGAGCTCAACCGGAGGATCACGGATCTGAAAATGGAGGGGAACAGGCAGACCAGTCTCTCTGATCTTCAGCTGAGGCTTCAGCCCTTGAGCGAACCCAGGAGGGACTCCAGCAGCACTGTCAGCACTTACTATGGCAGCATGAGGTCCACTGACTTTGGCAGCAGGAGGAGCAGCCAGGCCAGTGCTGTCTCCAATGCGAGGATTGGACCTGCTGGACCTGGCAGCTTCTATGATCCCATCAGCCCTGGCACCTCCAGGAGGAGCAGCCAGATGAGCACCTTCTCAGGGAGAAATAATCAGGTACAGGGACAATACTCCACGAGTAACCTGGTGGTGCAGACGCAGAACATGTCCATTCAGGTGAATATGGATTTTTGTTTTACTTTTTTCGTTGCAATTTTTGGGATTTTTTTATTGGGGGATGATTTTTTTGTAGGAGAGATATTTTTGGGGGGGAAATGGGTACGAAGAGACTTGGGAAGTCGTCTTATATTTTATTTTTCATTTGAAATTAAGGGTTCTGGGTTAAATGTCATTATTGGCATTCTTTAATGATAATTAAATTTGGTTTAGGAATTATTGGACTTCTTTTTTTCATTGTAATTTTCGGGATTTTCTTGCTATGATTAATTTTTTTAAGACTTGCAAAAAGACTTGTGAAGTCGTCATAAATATCATTTTCAATTTCTTATCAATAATTTTGGTTTAGATGTCTTAATTGGCATTTTTAGATGGCGATTGATTGGTTTCAAGAATTTTCTTTTATTATGATTCATTTTTTTAAAGAAGGGTGTATATACATTTCGTGAAGAAATAGTTATAAAAATATTTGTGAAGTTGTAATAAATTTTATTGTCAATTTAAAATTGAATTGTTTTGATTTAAATGTTATTATTGGCATTTTGAGATGTCACTTAATTTATTTTAAGAACAGAGATTGCATGAAATTCATGGAAAGACTTATTAAAATATTTTTCAAAGTTGTAATCAGATTTATTTTGAAGTTTTAATGAGATTTTTGGCATTCATTGATGTCCAATGATCAGCTTTTTATTTTTTCCATCGTTACCTTCAGATATTTGTTTAGAAAAGTTATTCTTTATTTCAATTTTTTGGTCTATAGATTCACAAAATTGTCATCAAGAAATTTATAAATCGAAATTCAAGTGCATTTTCAAAATTAAATTAATTTCTTGAGACTTATCAACGATGGAGATGATCTTTAAATGTTTTTAAATCATAAGCTTTTCATGTTTTTGACTTTTAATTTTATATAATTCTTATATCATGACCTTTTTGCATGAAAAATATTGTTTTTTTTTGGTTTAGGGAGTTCAGAGTGGAACAAACGAATGGACCCCATCAACAGGACTCCCCCAACCCTCTGGAGACAGGAGAATGTCAGAGCCCACTAGGGGATACCAGAGTCAACGGATTTCACCACCTGTCCCACCTAGACCGAGGTCAGCACAGCTGCCTGAGCTGCATCCCAATCAGGAGGTTGTGCTCGATGAAGTGGGGGAGGGGGAGATGGTGGAGAACAAGCTTGTCATTCCTGATGAGATGATGCAGTACCTGAATGAGGTATTTATCAATCCAAACTTCATTTTATTTCTGATCGATTCTTTATTTTTCTTCAATTATATTACTTTTTGTAAGATTATGATTTTTATTATTATTTTTTTATGAGATGTAAGCGCATTGTTTTTTTAATAGAAATACAAAAAAATATAATGATATTTTTCAAATGCAATAATCAAAAATCCATCATTTCTCTTTCATCTTCACTCATCTTGTTTTAAAAATATTAATTACCTCATAAACGAGTGTTTTTGTTGAAAAAAATTCTGTTTTTTCAAAACAGTTTTTTTTTAAGAATTAAATTCTCCACGAAAAACCTCTCCCAATTTACTCCTAAACTCACTAGAATCCTCCATATTTTCAGCAAAATCCACACAAATTTACTCGACTCAAAATGATCGACGAAAAAATTAAGAAATGAATTAAAGTGATTAAAATACTAATGATCATCATTATTGTAATTAGTAAATATTGAGTAAATAATTAGTACAAAATTTCATCCGCTTTCTTTCATCTATACCTGTCATGTTTTCTAAATAAAAATTAAATTTAAATTATCATCTCATGAGCGAGTGACTTAGTGTTAAAAATATCAAATAATTTTTTTAGAGATTTAAATTCCCCACAAAAAAACCTGTTCTCCAATTGTCTCCTAAACTCACTAGAATCCTTCATATTTTCAGCAAAATTCACACAAATTTACTCGACTCAAAATGATGAAAGAAAAAATTAAGAAATGAATTAAAGTCATTAAAATACTAATGATCATCGTTATTACAATTAGTAAATATTGATTAAATAATTAGTACAAAATTTCATCCGCTTTCTTTCATCTATACCTGTCATGTTTTCTAAATAAAAATTAAATTTAAATTATCATCTCATGAGCGAGTGACTTAGTGTTAAAAATATCAAATAATTTTTTTAGAGATTTAAATTCCCCACAAAAAAACCTGTTCTCCAATTGTCTCCTAAACTCACTAGAATCCTTCATATTTTCAGCAAAATTCACACAAATTTACTCGACTCAAAATGATGAAAGAAAAAATTAAGAAATGAATTAAAGTCATTAAAATACTAATGATCATCGTTATTACAATTAGTAAATATTGATTAAATAATTAGTACAAAATTTCATCCGCTTTCTTTCATCTATACCTGTCATGTTTTCTAAATAAAAATTAAATTTAAATTATCATCTCATGAGCGAGTGACTTAGTGTTAAAAATATCAAATAATTTTTTTAGAGATTTAAATTCCCCACAAAAAAACCTGTTCTCCAATTGTCTCCTAAACTCACTAGAATCCTTCATATTTTCAGCAAAATTCACACAAATTTACTCGACTCAAAATGATGAAAGAAAAAATTAAGAAATGAATTAAAGTCATTAAAATACTAATGATCATCGTTATTACAATTAGTAAATATTGATTAAATAATTAGTACAAAATTTCATCCGCTTTCTTTCATCTATACCTGTCATGTTTTCTAAATAAAAATTAAATTTAAATTATCATCTCATGAGCGAGTGACTTAGTGTTAAAAATATCAAATAATTTTTTTAGAGATTTAAATTCCCCACAAAAAAACCTGTTCTCCAATTGTCTCCTAAACTCACTAGAATCCTTCATATTTTCAGCAAAATTCACACAAATTTACTCGACTCAAAATGATGAAAGAAAAAATTAAGAAATGAATTAAAGTCATTAAAATACTAATGATCATCGTTATTACAATTAGTAAATATTGATTAAATAATTAGTACAAAATTTCATCCGCTTTCTTTCATATCTATACTTGTCATGTTTTTTACATTGATTATTATCTCTTAGTGTTAAAAATATCAAATGATTTTTTTAGAGATTTAAATTCCCCACAAAAAAACCTGTTCTCCAATTGTCTCCTAAACTCACTAGAATCCTTCCTATTTTCAGCAAAATCCACCCAAAATTACTCAACTCCAAATTAATTGAAAAAAATGAGTAAAAAGATGAACTAAACTCATTAAAATAATAATTACCACTACCGACTCTCAATTAATAAAAAGAAAGACCCAAAAATGAGCCAAGCTACTCAAACTAATTAATTAAACTCCTCAATGAAATAACAACTAATTCCCAATCAAATTACTCACAATTTACTAATTAAATTTCAGGTGCAAGCAGGAGGCAACCAAGTCAGCTACCGCGGCAGTCCCCTCCCGATCTGTCAGTCCCCAATCTGCACGAATCCCCTGCACTACCAACGCCAGCAGCAGCCCTGCACCTTCTCCCCCCACCCACCTCACCCGCCACCCCCTCAACCGTGCTATCAGCCCCCGCAGAACCCCCCTCAGAACCCCCCACCCTGCCAGAACTACCAGGCCCCCTCTCCCTCCTACTCCCACTGTCCCTCCTCCCGAATGTCCCAGACCTCGACCTACTACCCCCAGACCAACTGCCCCCAGATGCAGCAGTCCCCAGCGAGCCAAGTAATGTCCCCAGGATCTCACTACGCACCTAGTCACATCAGCGATCAGCCAATGACATCACCAGCAGCAGGTGCCCTGCCCCCTCAACTGAATCCCCAGATGAATTCCACCAATCTCCAGCAGAATTCAGCCCAAATGTCCAGAAACTGTCCCCAGCAGATGAACTACTACCAAAATTACAACTGCTCTGGCCAATTGGGTAGCAATTGCAATGGCCAGGGTCACCAGGGTCAGCCCTGCGTACAGATGAGAAACTGCAATTTATCTCACTGTCAGCCGAGGGGACCAGGACATCTGGGGAATCCGTGTGCCCCTGGGCAGAATCAGTGCCCCAGAACCCCTGGGAATGAGGGAATGCCCTCGAGGATGATGGGAGGTGATGCAGGGATGAATGGCATGTGCCAGGGGGCCAATCAGCATTGCCCTGTCAAGGCTCAGGGGCAGAATGGCCTCTGCCAGGTGAACTGCGGACATCCGGCGGTGAATGCAGCCAGGAATCCAGGGCAGAACCCCAAGTGCTCACGTCAGAACAACTGTCGACTTCAGAGCTGTAATTGCCAGGGGTCGCAGGGGCATCAGGGGCATCAGGGACAGAATCACTTCACGAACCCTCAAGGCTGCAATTGCCAGTGGAACTATCAGCACGAGTGCTACAATGGGCATGGCATGGAGATCCAGTGCAGGGACATCAGCCAGTCCCAGCAGGGCTCCCCCATGAAACCCCCGGGCATGCAGCAGGACTCCTACAGGAGGACTCTGGCGTATGTCCAGCAGCTGGAGAAGTGGTCTGGAAATGCCCAGGGGCATGAGACCAGTGTTTCCAGCTCGACACATCCTTTATCTCTGCCACAGCCACTGCCTGCGAGCTCCAATATGGTGGTTAATGACATGACTTCTTCGTTGAGCTCGCTTCTCGAGGAGAATAGGTATCTTCAGATGATACAGTGAGGCACGAGGGAGTTGGGGTAAAACGGGGGAGGATTTTTTAGGAAGGATTGGGTGGGTCCTGGGTTTTTGGGGATCATTTCGGCAGGATTTTTTGGAGGAGATAGTCAGAGCTGCAAGAAATCTTTGGAGGAATTTTTTTATTTGTCAAAATGTTGATCTCGAGATGTATAAAACATTGATTTTTATTCATCTGACATTGAGGCATTGACAGAAGAAAATTCTGAAATTTTTTCATGAATATCTTTGAAGCTCATTTGATTTTTTGATATTTTTGGGTGCGAGGAATGTCGAAAAAATACGGCTGGATTTTTTAGGTAATTATTTTTGAAATTGCGCATTTTTATTCCTTGAAAATTAACTGTCGAGATGTGCAAAGAGAATTGCGTCCCATTCATAAGAAATTATTGTATCGAAAAAAAATTCTGGAAAGATTTGTTGATGAATATCTTCGAAACTAATTGACATATCTAAATTTTGGTACAAAAACATTTGATGGAAATTTTGATGTTGTTTTTACATTTCAAGAGATGTCGAAAACAATACGTCTGGAGTTTTTAGATAATGATTTCTGAAACTGTGCCTTTTGATAGAATTAATGCTCAAAAAAAATTTTACTGTCAGTTTTTATTCTCCAAAAATTTGATCTCAAGATATAATAAAAGAATTGTGTCCCATTCATAAAAAATTCTTGCATAAAAAAACATCTTCAAAGATTTTTTTAGGAATATCTCTGAAATTAATTAAAATATCGAAATTTTTCTGCGAAAAATCTAATGGAAATTTTGATATCATTATTAAATTTCGAGAGGTGTCAAAGTCGAAAAAAAAATGGATGTAAATTTTTATTACTCAAAAATAAGATCTCGAGATATACAAAAAGAATCATGTCCCATTCATAAAAAAATATTGAATCAGAAAAAAAATCCTGAAAGATTTTTTTGATGAATATCTATGAAACTAATTAAAATATCCAAATTTTTATGCGAAAAATGTCATGAAAACTTCGATATGTTTTTTAAATTCCGAGAGATGGTAAAAAAACGTCTGGAGTTTTTATATAACGATAATTTCTAAAACTTTCACCTAACCATTTTGTAAAAATATATTTTCACTACCTCTTGGTGGCTCACGTGCCTTTTTATACTCCCAGTGCCTTCAACTTAATTTATTACCTATCATTAACAATGATAAAGTGACAACAGTTAATGACTGATGTGGAAATGTTGATTAATACTCAATAATCTAGGATTTAATGATTTCGTAATTTTCCGTAGGACTTAATGACATTTTTTTCTCAATGGAAAAAAAACTAAATCGAGATTATTTCGAGCTCAGTGAAGAGTGTACGATGTACGCTGTGATAACAGAAGAAAAAAGATACAAATTTATTATATTAATGTAGGATTCGTTAGTGATAATCAAGGCGTAATCGATGCAGTTATTGATGCATTTATCGGAATTAGGTGAGGATTTGAGATATTAAGAAAATTATAGAGTATTAATTATTCATTTTAGAACAGAAAGAAAGGCCAATACTAATTTTTAAGACCTCTGTAGATAGTGTGAATGATTTTTCATTTATCATTGATCTCTTAATTAACGAGATTGATTGGTGTTTCGAATGATTGCCGTAGGACTAGTATTATTAATTAATGAACATTTCGTGAGGAAATTTTGTACTTGACGTGTCGGTTTAACCGCGGAAATCATTAGTGATTAGATCAATTGATGATCGAATTGATTGCTATTACTAATTAATTAAATGCCTTCGATTGTGCCTGAGAGTTAGAGACTTGGAAGTGCCTAGTTTTTTTTTCGTCTCTTAATTTTTCATTTTTGTTACAACAGACAATTTCTCAAGATATTTTATTTTATTAATTATGAGTAGATGCGAGTAGAATTAGACGATTAGGATTATCTTGTGAATATTATACATATCGAGGTGGAGAGAATTTTAAGATGCCTTTGTATTCAGTTCATGATTAAAATGTGTCTCAAGAAAATCGATGTTGTTGATTATTTGTAAAATAAACTGTACACCTTTTGTCGAATTTTTTTTTTCTCGTCAATTTTATTTGATTCTCCTGTTGAAACATTTTATCAAGGTACAAAAATGGTTTTGTCTGGAGTTTGAGAAGTTCATGGTGATGATTCTGGGGTTCCTGTCGGCTCTGCTGTCTGAGATTCCTAGAATTAATTGAACAGAGATTGGGGAAATTATTATGAACATTGGCGGGAAATTGGTGGTTCAAAAAAAGTGACCTTTCCCAATTTTTTGACGTCGTTTCCGGAAATGACAGTTTTTTAACTCGACATTTTTGTGACGTGACGTCTGGATGACAATTCCGGAAGTGACAATTTTTTTATAATACGTCATTTCCGGAAAGGACAGAATATTCAAGGATGACGTAATTTCCGCTGACGTTACTTCCGGTCAAAAACTTGCACTAGTGATAAAATTTATGACGTAATTTCCAGCGATCGGAAATTACAAAATCTTAAAAAAGATTATTCTCGGAATTTTTAAATCGGAAATGGCGTCCCCGGAAGTGACATGTTTTCAAAATTCTGTCACCAAGGGATTCGCCAAAACGAAAGTGCACGTAATTAAAAAAAAAGTAAGTTCTGGGAAGACAACAAGAAGTGACATTTTATAATTGATTCTGACCGGAAGTAAAGGTATTTTGAAAAGTTGGTCATTTCCACAATTGTTTGACCGGAAGTGGCATATTTTTCAATATGTCGTCATTTCCGATATGAGAGATCCGGAAGTGAAGTGACAGGAAGTTGCATACTCTCAAAATTCTGCTATTTCCGAATTCACCAAAACCCGAAGTGCCCTAAATTTCTTTGACCACTCGTCATTTCCGGAAAGGGTTTACCGAAAGTGACCCCTTATAAAAAAAATCCGGCCGGAAATGACTTCAGAGGAAGTGACGTATTCTTCAATACATCGTCATTTTCGGGGCAGCGGAACCGGAAGTAACATCACAAGAAATGACGTCATATCCGCGAATCAGTTATGATCAATAAACTAGCTTAGAAACTTCTGGCCAAATTTAAAGTCTTGGAATCATTGAATCATCAGTGATAAGCAATCCGCCAATAATTACCTCCACGGCATTCGGATCCGTGGGAATCCTCACAGAGGGCAGAACATCGGGCATGGGTGGTGGGGCAGGAATTTCCCCGTAAGCTTCATGTAGTTCCTCCAATCGTGTGCTCAAAGCAGATCCTCTCCGACTGGTTGCATTCATCTTCTTCATCAGCCACTCGGCCTGCTCCTCCAGCCTCTTCAGCCTCGCATCGCGGGCCGCGAGCACCTCCTCCGAGGTTCTACTGGCCCTCGAAGACGACGCCGAAGGTCCATCCACAGAACTTCCGTCAATTTTCCCGCCCAAATCTTCCTTATCATCCTCCCTGGCTCTTTCTGCTTCCGTTTCCGGTCTTCCTCCTTCATTTGTTAATCCCTGAACTTCTTCGGGGCCCTCGGAACTCCTCGAAGTACTCTCCAATGATTTTGCATTACTCTGAGACCCGAATAGGGACCCCTGAAGATCGTTGGAAGGGCCCACAACCAGAGGATCACTGAACTGAACTGTTTTACCGACTGTTGGAAAAGGCCCAATCGAAAACACAGAGACGAGATTAGATGAGTCCCCTGGGGTCTTATCAGTGTCTTCGGGTGCTGAATGTTGATGATTTGGTGTGAATGAGTGATCTTGGGGGACTTCTTCGTGTTGAAGATTTTTTGTCTCTTCGTTACCTGATATTTTCGATTCTTCCTCTGGATTTGATGAAGGGGATGACCTCTGGGCAGTGGATGGGGCCTTTTTTTGATCATCGGTGCTCTGATTGCCGTCGACGTGGATGAGGTTCTGGATGACATTCGCGAGGGCCTGGTCCAGGGGGTTCTGTGGGCCCTTCGAGGACTCTACGGAAGAGCCGTCAGATGTCTCTGGGGTTGGCGTCCTCTGGTCCGGGGACTCGGTTTTTGGGTCTGATGCCTCGGTGTCTGTTGGCTGCTCGGATTCGGTGTCTGGAGTTGGCGCCCTTGGACTCTCCTTGATTAAAAAATGTTTTATTTGATGGGAGATGGTGCAAAAATTGAAGATCTGGGGAAAAAAATCATAATCGGCTGTATCCTTGATATAGCCGTCAGATTTAACGTGGATACGTCTATGGACCAAAATCCTCATTGGTAGTATCCTTTTTAACGTAATTCGTCACAAAAATTTAATATTATATTCAATTCTATACGTCTCTATAATTTTATAAAGAATTTCAAAATTGAAAAATTCGTGATTCATAATTAGAACCTGCTTAATTGACGAATTCTATGGAAATACTCAAGAATTTAAAAATTTTTGAATTTTCTCATCACTTTATACTATGAGAAATTGTTCTCAAAAGACTTAGTTGATTAAGAATGCTTTCTATTCATTCGCTCATTATCTGAGAAATGGCACTGTCTTCGGTCTTGGATCATTTTAACCCCACCATCGACTCATTGGCCAATCAGAAAGTTTCTCCCCACCATCGACTCATCGGCCAATCAGATTTCTAACTTCCCACCATTGACTCTGCAGCCAATGGTGAGTTTTTGCGCAGTAACCTTCTATAAATTTAGTGCACCCAATCCGCCTGGACCATTTCGCCTCGAGGAGCAGAAGAACAGGGAGCGGAGCAGCCGAGTAGCAGAATCAGAATTCGAAAACGAGAAAGGAGGGGAGGAAAGAACGGAAAGGGAGCACTCTACGAGAGGAATCTTTAGCTTTAAACCATCGATAGTCGTTTCTTGGAAAACTCAATTTTGTCTTGGAGATTTAACTCTCGTCTTTAGGAAAATCTCAGTTTTCGCTGTAACCAAGAAACTCAATTCCGCTGACTAATAAGGACAACTCAATTTACGCTTTTAATCATCGCCGATAGATGGCGCGGCTGCATAAGCATTTTTTTGCTTAGTGACCCCCCAAAACGAAACCATAGACGTATCCACGCCAAAAACCCTTGAGGATGTCCAAGTACTTTGGCTATTTCTTCATATAGGACATAATGTAATCATTTAAATTCACTCGTATCGAAATATGCTATTTTCGACCTCGTCACTATCCCTATTTGATTATTTTTTATTGTTTTCACCAGCATCTGACCGACTATGGCCCAAAACTGTCGCAGAAATTATTACTATAACGGTCGAAAAAATGGATTTATTGATAAAAAAATAATAATTCTGTGCAAAATGTAATTTGAATGACACTGAATATTCATAATTTTTTTCAAATTTTTCTCACAATTAAAATGACAAATTAAAATGATGATGATTGAAAACCGTTGAATCTATAGTGTAATCTGCAATAAAAAGGAAAATATACTTGGATATCCTCAAGAGTTCCATAGAATTCTTATGATACCTTTCTAGTCCTTCGGCGTGGGCCTGCGCGCACCCTCTCCTCGGCCTCCCCCTCCTCGTCGTCCGAGTCATCACACCGATCATCACTGAAACCACTCTCAGCACTAGAAGCGCAATTTCTACGATTACTGATATTTTCCCCGTTCTAAGCAACAAAAAAAATAGTTACCTGTTGTTGAACGAGTCGTGAGCTAGAGCCTTCCTAGCCGCGAATTCCCTCCTGAGGTTTTTCCACTCGATCTCAGTATTCGTGTTCTTCTGTCTCGCCGACTCCCACTTCTCCCGGCAGTACTCCAACTCTTGCTTCAATTCCTGGAGCATCTTTCGCTTTTGCTGAAGCTCGTAACGCAGAATTTTTTCGTGAGTGTGAAGCTGCTGGTGTTGAGCCTGCATTCGGCCCACGACGTTCCATGTCTTGCTGAGCTCATCAGATACTGTTGACAATCTCTTTTCCTGGACGGAAGTCAAATTCATTCAGTTTTTATCACTGACTCAAAAGAATTGGAACAAATTCTCTAGAAATTCTATGGGAATTCTATTAAAATTCTATTAAAATTCTAGTGAATTCTCGTGAAAATTCTATTTGTTTTTTGTACAGATTCTATTAGACATTTGATGCGTAGTCAATAGATTTCGACTTTTTTGTTTGAATTTTTTTCTTGAGATTTTTTTTATTAAAATTATTGGGCGCGAATTTTCAAAGTTTTTTCCGCTATATTTTGTTTTGTTTCACATTACAGGATCCGAGTAAAAAAACGTAGAAAAATCATGCCCAAGTATTCTTATAAAAAAAGTTCAAGAGAGTCTATTGACTTTTTCCTATCAGATATCTCATAGAATCAGCGCAAAAAACAAATGGAATTTTGACGACAATTCCCGAGAATTTCAATGGAACTAGAATACGACGCGCGCTCTGACTCAATTCTGGCCCTTAATTTTCGAGTACCAAATTTTCATCATCAGAAGGCGATTTGAATTTTTATAATATAGAGAGATGTAGAAATCCATATTTTGACCCTTGTGACCCTTAATCTGATCCTCGTGACCCTTATTTAGACCTTTAATCTGACCTTTGTTACCCTTATTTGGAATCTTAATCTGACCCTTAATGTGACCCTTCTGACTCTTAATCTGACTCTCATAACTCGTATTTTGACCCTCGTGACCCTTAATTTTGGAGTCTTAATGTCAAGTACCAAATTTTTATCACCAGAAGTCAATTTGGATTTTTATAATATAGATATATTATATGATATATACATATATACTATGTTATATATGTATTTTTTTATTACAGTAAGAAATGAATTTCTTTTTTTACAATCCCTGTAAACAAAAGATCACGGAACATAAAAAATATACATAGACATCATATTACACTACTTGACAAGCGGAATAGAAGCTTCAAAAATGGCTGCACTGGATGTTTAAAAGTGGATCCCAATAGAATTTCTAGAGAATTCCAATAGAATATTCTAACGAATTCGTCAAGTTTTTCCATTGAATTTTGTCATCCCTGTACCATTCAAATTCCTTACCTGTTCCCCCAATTTACTCTCCAAATGTGAATTCAACTGCTTCATCCTCCCCATCTCCTTCTCCAGATGTTTCTTCTCCAAGATCAGCTCCTTCAGTCGAATATAAGTCTTGCTAACTGATATGACAAGCCTGGGGCCAGTGGGAGTGTCCACTGACTTGTAGCAACTGTTAGGATCATTAGATAACAGAGTAGACGATGTTGAGGCGGAGGACCCAGCGGCATGACAGCTCAATAATTCCGTCAGGACTTTCCAAACTTTGGGAAGATTGTTGGCAATGCTCTCCTCCTGCGCCTCATCCTCCTTCTTCTCCGAGCTTCCCTCGCTCGACTTAGACTTCTCCCGTCCCTCCACCTGTTCCACGAGGTCTAGCAGGAGTTTCGGGAGGGCTGCCGCTTCCGTGCCCTCCTCCCGAGCCATGTCGCTTATCAAGTCATGATTCTCCTGCAGCAACTGCGTCAGTCTGTCGAGATCCATATCCGCCGAGGAAGCGCTCAGCAACATCTGCGAGAACAAGCTGTTGATCAGCGACATCTGGTTCTGAAGATCCCTGCAGTCCGCCTTGGTCAGCCCCAGCTGTGACTCAAGATTCGACACTTCCGTGTCCTGCGCGTCGATCTTCTCCTCGGCCTTCTTCAGGTCCTCGTCCAGTGACTCCTTCTCCTTCACGAGACCCTTGAGCTTGTGCCTAGTGCTCAGAAGGTCTTTTGTCGCCGAGTCCTTCAGGTCAACCAGGACCCTCATCCTCTCGTCGTAGAGGGCCTTCAGCCGCCGGATGTCCTCCACCTGGTGGTCGTGCTCAGTCCTCAAGTCCTCGCTTATCTCAATCTTAAATTTGTCGTCCCCCAGTCTAGCCAGAATCTGGGATAACATGTTCTTGAGTCGATTCATCTGATGCTCTCGAGTCTCGAAGCTGTCTCTGTTCGATCTCGCGATCGCCTCCAGGGTCTCGATCCTGTGAGCGTTCAGCTCAGGCTCGCACTCCAAGTGATACCGCAGGTCATCGATCTTCTCGATTTGAAGTCTGATGCAGCCGCGAAGTTCGTCTGAGACCTTGAGCACGTCTGTGAGCCGTTGCGCGTCTTTTTGGATGGAGTTCGGCTCCGGCCATTCGTTCGCGACTTTCGCGTCTTCTATCGGGGCTGTCGCGGTGCCGATCGAAAAGGTCTCGCTTTTTCTGGACGCCTTTTCGGATTGGGTCTTCAGGAGGTCGAGGACCTTTGAGGTCTCCGAGTGCGCTTCCTTCTCGGCGTCGAGCTCTTTTCGGAGCCGGTCCATCTCGGAGGAGACGGCCGCTATCGCGCGCTGTCTCGCTTCGCGTTTCAGGCAGAGGTCTTTCTTGAAGTCGTCGAGGGTCGGGCGTTCCACGGATTCCTCTTCGGTTGAGGTTTCTGGAGAGATATCATGAAGGGGTTCTATATGGAATTTTGCTGCTTCGGTTGCGTTCGGAGATGTTAATAAAAAAAAACAATGGGGAAGACTGAACGGATAAAAAATGGTCGCATTGTGCTCTAGAGTTTGTGAGGTACCGATGATTTTTTAAATTGATTTGACGCAGTTATTTTCTCAATTCGAAAACGGACTGGCGAATTCTTCTGTAAATATCTCTGAACGGGAGGGATTGGGAAGAAAATGTCATAAGAACTTTTTGTCGTAAATTTCATGAGTTATAAAAAGGGTTTTATGACATTTCCCTGTAAGATTACTGGCTTCATAGATATTCATTAAAAAGATCTTCTCGAGTTGAGTTTGCCTGTTTAGTTTCATTTCTTCGCTATCGAATTCAGATTTAATCGTTATGATTTCGGGGATAAATAGTAAGAATGTGAAAGTTTTTATTTCGTTAAAGAATTCGATATGATTGTAAACAATTAACTGAAAAAAGGAATATCGAATCTAACGAAAGGGTATCAACACAAGTGGCGGTAGTAATTGAAAAAAATTGATTTAGAGCAGTCTTCTCGTAATCCGAAAATAGTTTAATGACAAAATGTATTGTTAATAATTAACAACTCACCAGCATCGGAATTTTGAACCCTCTTAAAACTCGAAATGACATCATTCAGTCTTTGAATTTCCTTGAGAGACTCCTCCAACTCTCCCCCCTGGGGTCTCTCCACCTCATCAGTCTGAATCGAGTTCTCCCGCACTGTTCCCTTCGAATCCCCAATCCTCCTGGCAGTGTCCTCCGAAGTCTCTCGCATTGCTTTAAAATAATCTTTCGATACCTAGAACCAGAACAATCCCATATTTAGACCTTTGATCTGATTCGTGTTACCCTTATTTGGACCCTTAACCTGATCCATATGACCCTTACTCTGACCCTTGCGACTCTCAATCTGAACCTCGTGATCCTTAATATGATCCTCATGACCCTTAATCTCTTCCTTATGCGCCTTATTATGACTCTCGTGACCCCTACTCTGACCCTCATGACCCTTACTATGACTCATAATCCTTATTTTGACCCTTGCGATCCTTATTCTGCCCCTTATGATCCTTATGCTGACCCTCATGACAATTTTTTGACCTTTATTCTGACCCTAACGATCATTATTTTGATCCTTATTATGACTCATGAATATTAATGTGATCCTAGTGACCCTTATTTGACCCTCGTGACCCCTATTTTGACCCTTATGACCCTTATTATGACCCACATGACCTTTATTATGACCTTCATGACTCTCAATCTAATTATGGCCCTCTAATTAGGTCATCTAATTATGACCCTCGTGACCCCTACTCTGACCCTTCTAACCCTTATTCCCCTTGTTCTGACCCACACGACAATTATTTTGACCCTCATGGCCCTTATTCTGAACCTCACGACCCTTATTCTGACCCTCATGTGCTTTATTTTGACCCTTGTGACCATTAATTTTCGAGTTCTAATTTCGAGTACCGAATTTTCATCACCAGAAGTCCATTTGGATTTCTATAATATAGAGAGATTCAACTCTACCATTCGTTAATAGTTAACAAATCTCGTTTGGAATAAATGAATAATTCTATCAGTGCATCAAGCCCCCAAATAATTCCTCATCCACTTCACAAACCTCGTAATCCCTCCTGACCCTCTCCAGCTCCCTCCTCAGCCTCTTGTTGACCTCCTTCGTCTCCACCTGTTCCTCCCTGAGCCTCCTGACCTCCCTCACGAGCCCTTCACTCCTGTCCTCCTCCCTCCCGCCCTTCAACTCACTCTCGAGTACTCTGATCCTCTCCACAGCCCTCTGGTACTCCCTCCTGACGTACTCCTCGTCCCCGTCCCCTCTGCCCTTCTTCTTCACCGACCTCCAGTCGCCCTCCACTTTCCTCCCTGAGCACTGACACTGGGCTCCCATCACTCCCTCAACTACCTCAACCCTCCTCCTCAAGTCATCATCGCACTTCTTTACACTGGCTTCCCTCTCCTTACTCAACTCCAGATAAAGTCCCTCCAGCTGTCCCAGAAGGGCACTGTGAGCCGCCGCCAACTGCTGATTGGCAGCGGCTAGACAGGACACTGTCCTCGTGAGTTCCATCGCCTCCTGGTGAACGGGCACCCCAGGGGCATATTCCGACTGCCAGCCCGTCATTTGTGTTGCGTAAGTCAACTAGAAAAATTAAAAATAGGAAAAACACTCAGTCTTTGCACTTGCGAAGTCTTGATAGACTACTGATTAGTCTAGAGATTTAAGTCGAGAGACTGATTGCGAGAGGAATGAGATCCTCTCGAGTCGAGAGACACGAAAACACTAAATGAATTGGCCCAGGGACTGGGGTGATACCGCTGGGGACAACGAGCCAGCCACGTGATGCGAAAACCACGAATTTTAGTTCCTCTGACTCAGCATTCCTCGGAGAACTGAGGAATAGACTTTTTATTTGGAGATCTGCCAGTTTATCGGTATTAGTCGAGGTTTTTTGAGTGGATTACGGTGAATTTGGCGATTTTCGCGGTGATGGCATTGAATTTTGGGGTCTGGGAGGGATTCCTTACCAAGGCCTCGTGAGGCTGACGGAGGTTGACGGCTGGGGGTGGGGGTTGATGCCACCATTCGTCATTTCTCAGACTGTCTCGGGGTCTTGACTCCTACAACAAATGGAGCTTTCAATGGTGAGGATTTTTCTCATTGTTCTGTTCGAAATTGCCATGAATTTGAAAAGAGACAAAATTTTAAATCGTTTTGAGGACGAAAAATTCTCTGATTAGGAGAGGTTTTTAATAAAAAATTATTAAAAAATTAGATTATTAAGATATTCAAAAGTCAAAAGCGAACGGCAAGGCATAAATATGCAGCACTACTGAAACTTTCTATTAGTTTTTGGTGCATTCTATTGAAATGTTTAATTGAAAATATTAATATTCCATAGAAAAAGTCAATAGAATTCGATTTTTCTGGACAACTTATTCTATTGAGACATTTACCGTAGAATTTTCTCGGCTTTAATGTTGAACTGCAATAAAACAATTGAATAAACAAATAAAATAAATAAATAATCCCTCTGTTATCTGAATAAAATACAATCTCCACGATAATTGTGAGTAAGAGTCTAAGGGCTGAGATTACGACTGAATATTCCTACGCTTATAAATAATTGTACTTATACATTGATAAATTGCGGTTTTATGTTGAATAAATGCCTTTAATCGTTAATCGTTGGCCGGAAAAAAATACAAAATCAAGAAATTTTTCGGACTATTATGCAGAGTAGGAAAAATCGGGGGTTGAGGAAGGGTTCGAATTTCTTCAAGACGACTTCCTCACTTGATTCTGCGGGTTCGACGCCACTGAAGAGTGTAAGGAGGCTTGGGAGACTCTGGAGGTCCTCGGGAAGCCCTGGAAAGGTCCGCCAGGGCCGAACGGCGACGGCAACGGCGGAGGCTCGTAATCCTTCTGGTTGTGGAGACTGTGTCCCATACCCATGGCTCGTTCTCATAAATTATGAGTCGTTCGGTCGTTTGGGAATTTTCTACTGTGGAAGATTCTCTGAAAAAATAAATAAATAAACGGACCTGTGATACTTTGAAATTGTCAAGAATTTGTTACGTTTGCCGATTTAATTCCTAATCGTTTATTTCTACAAAAAAAAATTGAATGAATCATAGGATTAAATAAAAACGACAAATTATTCCGCTTGATCGACTGGATTTAAATTAATGCCTTAAATTATAGACGAATTTGTTTGTTTTGGGACCAGAGATCATATTTTTTGCTTAATCACTAATAACGCGGAAATATTTTTCATTATATTATAATGAGAATGAGTATGAATGAGTATGATGAATAAGTATTAAATACCGTATCAATGAGTAATAATTAACAATAAAATCTATCATTTATCTCATCAAGAATTAAACTTTAATAGTCTAGAAAAGTTGTTCATTTGATAATCAAATCAAACTATTCTCTAGTACTTGTGTAATCAATAATGAAAACTGAAATATTTTCATTATTCTGTTAATGGGTTATGTTGACCGTGAAAATATTCATTACTGTGACAATGGACAAAGATTATTGAAATGTCATTCCCCATGAAGATGATCAGAAACAAAAACTTTCTATTACTCAATTAATCAGTAATTATAGGTACACTACCGATTGAATGATTTAGTGAGATTTCCGGACTGGTGCGCGGCAATGTTTCGGCCCTGCCGATGTTGCCGGGAAGATGAGCAAAGTTAATCATTTAGAGGAAGTAAAAGTCGTAACAAGGTTTAATTAGACGAATATTTAAATGAATACTCACGTAATTAATGATTAAATTTACCTCATTAATTGAATATTTTTTGGGAAGAGCTAAAATAAGATAGCGAGTTAAAATGGACAATGAACAGAAAATTAGCAGGTAGGCAGTTAGGTCCGTCATACGGCAATCATTTTTCACTGAAGAAGAGCGTTTACATAGCGGTTCACATCTTGTGACATCAAAGGGTATTATTACTATGATAATTAAATAATAATGAAAAATGAGTTTCGTTTCATTATTCATGACGAAAGAAATCGCGATTTTCTGTTTTTCATTTTCCATTAATATAATAATGAGAATAAATTTTGAACCATTATTGATTGATAAATTATTTGTTTCTTTCTTCATTCTCATTCCTCATTAGCATCGCAATGAAAAATACATTTGGTATTATTATTCATTACGAAAAAAAAACATTTCAATTTTTTTCATCAACCGTTGGTAATTAATTGGTAATGAAATATTAATAATGAATATGATTTTCCTGCCGATCTCTCTATGGGACAGCCAATTTGTGAATTGAGATGTCAAAAGTGTTTTACGTTGTAGAATGAGAGAATACGACTCATTTAGACACGTCTTGTAAAGTGTTATTTTTGGGATTGAAAAGGCATCCAACTACGTGTAATGCTCTACTTGGCTGGTTTATACCGCTTTGGATATTGGCAAGAGGAATGCTCTTTGTCAGAAGCACATTTCATCAGGTTTCGGTTGAATTTCACCATTATTTATCTTGCACGAGACCATCGAAAATAAACTCACAAATCATTATCAGCGGTTTAGTCCTCTACTTCAACCCCCAGACAAAAAGCTAAATTAACCAGAATTAAAATGCGTCTTTCAAGATTGAAATTGTCTTGAAAGGTGGATGACACGTGGAAGGCGAGAAAAAAATGGCTATAAATAACCGAATGCGTGATTTAAAATTGTTGCAAATATAGAACAGTCGGCATGGACAAAGGAAACATAAACTTCTCGTCGCAATACAGAACTTTTTCATTGTTTCGTTATCTTATTTTAGAAATTTCCACGAATTTGAAAGGCGAAGAAATGAAAAAACGTTTTGTAGATGAAAAATTTTCTGATGACGAAAAAATGTTTCTAACTCAAGCAAACAATTTTTTTTCTTCCATATATTTCACAACGTTTGTATTTTCATTTTTAAAAATACTCTCTCAATTTATTTTTATTATTTCCACTGAATTTTTATTTATTAAAAAGCGGTGATTGTTACCGCTATAAAAAATATCTGATTCATTCATGAAAACCACATCTCAATTTCGTAGAACGAAATCGCCGAAAATTCGAGGAAAATCCATCAAATTTGAATTCACACCCACAGAGATGATAATAAACAATATTTAGACACTTGTTACCACGATTAATACACAAATAATCAGCTGAAACTCACAAAAATCGATATTTAAATCTCCGAAACGCATTTAACAAGTAAAAATTCGTGTTCTTCGGGAGCCGTACGTAGACACCTTGCTGGATGGCAGCCAATTCGCCTCCAGCTTTCTAAGCATAACTCTATAAATACACTGGGAGCCTCAACCCTGTGGCTGAGAAGCGTGCGCCGGGATTCGCTGGGCTTGTACGGCAGGTCTTCTAGCCATTTCGACAGGCGATCATTGATGACTGCTGAGGAATTGGAGCAGTCGGACAATTAAAATCAGAACTGATGATGTAATTAAACTTGATAGTCTTCAAGTTAGAAGAAGTAATTTTTTTAAAGACATGTCCAAGTACCTTTCAATTCCGTACGGAGAACGTTATGAATTTGTGAATTTTCTGTTTTTTTTTGGAAAAACGAAAATGTTTTTTCATCACGNAATTAAAATCAGAACTGATGATGTAATTAAACTTGATAGTCTTCAAGTTAGAAGAAGTAATTTTTTTAAAGACATGTCCAAGTACCTTTCAATTCCGTACGGAGAACGTTATGAATTTGTGAATTTTCTGTTTTTTTTTGGAAAAACGAAAATGTTTTTTCATCACGCTGTGACGAAAAGTGGACTTTTCGGCACGCTCCGCGTGCCTAAAAGTCCAATTTCCGCCACATTGTGATGGAAAATATTGTTCGTAACTCGTGAAAAAATGTTTTTTAGCTCGTGGGATTATATCACTCGCCTTCGGCTCGTGATATAAACCTCCCACTCGCCAAAAAACACTTTTTTGCACTCGTTACGAAATATACTATTCTGCCACTGCTGTTACGTTCAGTCCGTGGCGAAAAGTGCCTTTTTGTTCATGAGTAAATGAATAGTACTCTTTGTCTTTCCCGCCGTAAGGCAGCACTTCACGGACGCTACGCGACCGCGAATCCCTGCGGCTGTGAGAAGATGAAATATTTTTCATCACGCTGTGACGAAAAGTGAACTTTTCGGCACGCTCCGCGTGCCTAAAAATCCAATTTCCGCCACATTGTGATGAAAAATATTGTTCGTAACTCGTGAAAAAACATTTTTTTGCACTCGTTACGAAATATACTATTTTGTTACTGCTGCTACGTTCACCTCGTGCCGAAAAGTGTCTCGTACTCATTTCTACGTGAGGTGGACATAGCAGAAGTCTCAGAATAGTATATTTCGTTACGAGTGCGGAAAAGTGTTTTTTGGCTAGTGGGAGGTTTATAGCACGAGCCGAAGGCGAGTATCGAACCACGAGTATCGAACGATATTTTTCATCACAATGTGTGGAAGAAAGACGTTTTAGGCACGCAAAGCACGCCTAAAAAGTTACTTTTTCGCACAGCGTGATGAATTTCTACGTGAGGTGGACAAGGCAGAAGTGTCAGAATAGTATATTTCATTACGAGTGCGGAAAAGTGTTTTTTGGCTCGTAGGAGGTTTATAGCACGAGCCGAAGGCGAGTATCAAACCACGAGTATCGAACGATATTTTTCATCACAATGTGTGGAAAAGGGACGTTTTAAAAAGTTACTTTTTCGCACAGCGTGATGAAAAGGTTATTTTGAGTAGTTGAGAAGTTTGTGTTGTTATTTTTTGAATTGTATACCTTTTATATAACATTGCAAGCCTCAATCACTCAAAACAAACTTCTTTTCGCAGATTATTAAGCAAGCGAACAAACAGAGAAAACCGAAAAAAAATGATTTTCTCATTATCTATTCACAATCGATAAAAACCGAACATCCAATTTCATCCTCTGAAGTCTGATGTACATCGAAAAAAAAAGAAATTTAAATCACATGATTGTTATAGATCCCAGAGAACAATTTTTACCGATGTCATCTAAAAGTCCTCCCAAGACCAGTGAATATCCGGAAATGTACCGGTAAATTGTTGGCTAGGATAGAGCATTTTTACAATAAAAACTCGAATAATGATGTTTCATCATGACAGACGAGGTAAAATGGCGTGATTCCTACATGATTCTTATCATTTTATGTCTCATTGTATATCAAAAGTCGCTCAATAAGTTCATTGAGTGACCGCCAACCGACCGCCAACCTTCAAGTTTCAGGGGACTCCCCGCTTAGAAAAGTATGGTTTCTAGAAATCAAGGTTTTCATTCCCCCTCTGCCACTGTCTCCTCGGAATAAACCCAAACACCTGCGCTCATTTGCATACGCGTAAATATTGAAAATGTCGTAATCAAAAATTTTTTAGGTCAATCGAAAAATTTTTTTAGTCAGTGATTTTAGTTTACACATTTAGTCAGAGATCTGTTTCGCCCAGAGTGTCATCATGTCTTCATCGTACCAGATTTTATTGACGAATATATTCATAACAATTTTTTCAGGTAAGTTTGATCGTGGAAAACATTTCTAACGAGTCTTCCCGCTTCTGACCGGGTGATTGAAATGAGGATGACTGCCCATGGACCAGAATCCATATGAAGACGCATTCGCGTACACCAATCAGAATCGCGAAAATAAAATTGGCGGGAAAATCTAGCGATCTAATTGGTTATGCGGATGCGTCTCCGTGTGGATTGTGTTCCATGGACAGTCACCCTAAAAGATCCTCACCCAAGTGCACGCGGAGCGTGCGTAAAATTTCACTTCACGCACAAGTGATGAAATAGTATATTATAGTACTAGTGCATGAAGATCCACTTTTTTGCACGTCCGTGTAACACATCCTACACGGAGAAAATGATTTGGTGAATTTCAATAACCAATTGGTGAATTTCAACAACTAATTGGTGAATTTTAACAACTAATTGGTGAATTTCAACAACTAGTTGTTAAAATTCACTAAATGAATTTCTCCATGTATTTTTTATAATACCTGCCGAGTTCACTGTTCGGAACGGCAGTCGGGATAAAGTGGTTGTTTTTGTGCACGAGTGCGTAAAGTTCCCGAGCGGGCGTCAAGCGAATTTCGAGTGAGTAAAGCGAAGCTTTACGCACAAGACTTCACATTACGCACGGCCTCTGAACTAACACTTTACGCACACTAAACCGTTTCGAAAAGTGACCTTTTGAGACAACCATCACAAAAAAGCATATTATGGTACAAGTGCATAAAGATCCACTTTTTTGTCCGTGTAGCACATCCTACATGGAGAAAATAATTTGGTGAATTTCAACAATTAGTTGGTGAATTTCAATAACTAGTTATGGAATTTCAACAACCAATTGGTGAATTTCAACAACTAATTGTTGAATTTCAACAACTAATTGGTGAATTTCAACAACTAGTTGTTGAAATTCACTAAATGAATTTCTCCATGTATTTTTTGTAATACCTGCCGAGTTCACTGTTCGGAACGGCAGTCGGGATAAAGTGGTTGTTTTTGTGCACAAGTGTGTAAAGTTCCCGAGTGGGCGTCAAGCGAATTTCGAGTGAGTAAAGCGAAGCTTTACGCACGAGATTTCACATTACGCACGACCTCTGAACTAACACTTTATGCACACTAAACCGTTTCGAAAAGTGACCTTTTGAGACAGGTATCACAAAATAGTATATTGTGGTACTAGTGCATAAAGATCCACTTTTTTGCACGTCCGTGTAGCACATCCTGCACGGAGAAAATGATTTGGTGAATTTCAACAACTAGTTATTGAATTTCAACAACTATTTGGTAAATTTCAACAACTAATTGCTGAATTTCACCAAATCATTTTCTCCGTGTATTTTTTGTAATACCTACCGAGTTTGCTGTTCCGAACGGTGGTGGGGGTAAATTGGTTGTTTTTGTGCCACTAGTGCGTCAAGTGAATTTCGAGTGCGTAACGCGAAGTTTAACGCACAAGAATTCACTTTACGCATGTTCTTGGACTTTACGTACGCCGTGCGGAAAACAACCGCTTTGCGCACACTAAACCGTTTCAAAAAGTGCACTTTTGAGGCAGGTATCACAAAAAACTTTTTTTTCGCAGTCGTCACTGCAGGTACACCTCAGCGTATAGTCAGTGGAAATCATGCAGCACCCGGAGAGTTTCCATACATCGTCTCCTTGAGATTCAACTTCCGAGACAATAAACATATCTGTGGTGGCTCGATAATAAGCCCCAAACACAGTCTGACAGCGGCCCACTGCGTTGATTGGCTTTATCCTAGGGATATAATTGTTGTCAGTGGAACTAATCGCCAGGATGATAAGAATGCAGTATACACTCGAGTTGAAAAAATTGTGAAGCATCCGGGTTTCGTCAGAAAGACAGGAACATCGCGGATCCAGAATGATCTCGCTGTTCTCACTGTTGAGTTATTTTTCCCCTATCTCATTCTCTATTCTCACACCCACGAAAAAATTCAATAGAATAATGTAGCGAATTCGTTCGAAAAATCGATTGAATTTCTATTCAACTTCCTATTAGGTTTTGACTGATTCTGTTGAGATACTTTTGTAGAAATTCCTCGACTCAAATTTTCCAAGTTTTTTGTTTGACTTTCGTAATGGGAAGAGGAGAAGGATAGATATAAAGAAAGAAATGATTGTTATTCAGTCCTAGGATAAAATGATTCCTGCAGGCCAAATTAATCGAATACATCATTTACAATGTTCATCTCTCATTATTATGAAAATCCAAATCGACTTCTGGTGATGAAAATTTGGTACTGGAAATTAAGACTCCAAAATTAAGGAGTCGCAAGGGTCAAAATAAGGGTCATGAGGGTCAGAATAAGAGTCGCAAAGGTCACGAGGGTCACAAAGATCAGAAGAAGGGTCACGAGAGTCAGATTAAGGTTCATGAGGGTCAGAATAACAGTCCAAACAAGGGTAACAAGTGTCAGATTAAGGGTCACAAGCTCAGATTAAGGGTCCAAATAACGGTAACGAGGGTCAGATCAAAGTTCTAAATAAGAGTCACAGGATCAGATTAAGGGTCACAAGGGTCAAGTAAGGGTCCAAATAAGGGTGATGGGGGTCAAAAACTAAAGGTCATAAGGGCCAGAATAAGGATCATGGAGGTCATATGAGGGTTGGCGAGCGGAGCGAGCAGAGGACACAGCCCCCTAATATTCAATAAAAGACGACTGGCTAGCAATTATTTAATCTGCATTTTCTAACAATTTTTAGCATGTCTTCATTCTTTCAGTTTTATTTATTTATTTATTAAATTATTCGTTTTTATTAAATTGATTTTTTATTTATTTATTTGCTAGAGTGGAAAAAACATGGAAAATGCATGTCGAACAATTGCTATAAAAAATGTCTTAGAAGAAAAATTTGTATAAAAAAATCAAATTCGACTGATTCTTTCTATACAATATTTTCTATTGTACATTTTTTTTTTAAAACGAACACTAAAGCTGCGAAATTCTTATTTAATAAAAATGCAATAGGATTTTCTATCGCATTGGGTAGGTTTTTCTATTAAATTTTTTTCTCCATGTAAACATTTTTTCATTCTCAATGAAATTTACCTCCTTAGTTGAAAAAATCCCTGAATCTCGATGGCTCCATGCAAGATGCAATAAAATTGCCCACCAAATCTTGGATTCCTCATACAATTGCTACCGTTGCTGGATGGGGCTATAAACATGCACTTTCGAGTCCAGATTATTCTAAAGATGTTCCCAATGATCTGAGTAAATTACAAGTGACGATTATTACTCATGAAGAGTGTGCGAAGAAACGAGCTCAGCCTTTTGAATACCAGATTTGTGCTACAAGACCTAATGCCACCATATGCCAGGTATGATTATTTGAAATCAATCAGCAATTATTGTTCTGCATTTTATGGAATTATTGAATCATTCGATTGTAGTAATTTTGGGCTTTCACGCGGTACGTGAATTTTGAATTGCGGAAAAAATACCAGGAAAATTACGTAAACATTACGTTGTTTGACGTAACTGTGATGTATCACTATTGATTCACAAAACATATTTTTCGGCACAATTTTTTGTGGAATTTCACGTAAAAATTACGTTTTCATCACGCTGTGACGAAAAGTGAATTTCCGCCACATTGTGATGAAAAATATTGTTCGTAACTCGTGAAAAAATGTTTTTTAGCTCGTGGGATTATATCACTCGCCTTCGGCTCGTGATATAAACCTCCCACTCGCCAAAAACCCCTTTTTTGCACTCGTTACGAAATATACTATTTCATCACGCTGTGTGTAAAGTGACATTTTACGCACAATCCGCGTGCGCAAAACCCCACTTCCCACACATTGTGATGAAAAATAGGGTTCGACACTTGCGAGAAAAGTGTTTTTAGACTCGTGGGATTATATCACTCGCCTTCGGCTCATGCTATAAACCTCCCACGAGCCCAAAAAAACTTTCCCGCAATCGTATCGAAATATACTATTTTTTGTAAAGCTTCGCTTTACGCACGCGAAATTCACTTTACGCACGCTCTTGAACTTTACGCACTAGTAAAACAATATACTATGTCGTACGTGTCCGCCTCGCCTCCGGTAAAATTCCTATAATAATAATACTTTTTCAAAAAATGTATTGTACATATTTATATTTTCTATTCGTCTCATTATAGGGCGATAGCGGGGGACCTCTCGTCGTTGATAATGTCCTCGTCGGTGTTGTTTCCACCACAAGTTGCCTGTTGGGGTCCTACTCCGGTTACATGGATACATATTATTTCAGAAAATTTATTCAGGGAGCGATGAAAGATTGAATGATGTAATCCATTGGAATCAAGCAATATATTTTGATTAATAAGTAATTCAGTCGTTCGCATTCAATATCCCAGAACCTTTTTCAGTCAACGCTTACCAAAAATACGAGATGAAAAAATAAAAGCTCAAAAATTCTATTTTTGGGGCTGACCTCAATTCATGAATTAACGAATCATGGAATCTTTAAAGGCAAGTCAATATTAGGTATTGATTCGTGAAGTTGACTTTTGGAGTTCACTGGATTGTAAAGGATCCAGTTCAGCCTCGAAAATGCATTGACTTATGTAAATTTCTGATCTTCATTTCGGATTTGTCGTCTTGCTGGTGAAGAATAAACAACGTTTTATGATAAATTACACTTGTTATCAATATAGCGAATATGCGGATGCAGGGGGGGGGGAGGGATGAGAATTGTGGGAAATTTTGATTACGTAATACTTGAGTAACCCATTTTGATTCTTATAAAATCCGCAGGTGCCTTCATTCGTGGATTATTGATCTTCAGTCTTCATGATGTCAAGTGCAACGATGTTTTTCCCATTCCGCGTGATTCTCGTGATAAACGTGTTCATCACCCTTTTGATAGGTGAGTCCCCTTCTTTTTACTTCTGCGCGTACGACAAAATTTAAGGATAAGCGGGCGAGGAGGAAACGTAGGAGGTGAGGCGAAGGGGTTTCTATTGTTTTCCTGCAGAGAACCAATCGCTGAACAAAAAAATTTTTCCCATACGGATTCAAAATTCAGGCAATAATAGGGAGTATCTCCGGTTAAAAATTATTTTTGGAGCTAATCGAATTTATTTGTATCTGTTCCACGCATTGAATGGTTTTCAAATTGTTTTTTTTTAAATAAATGAAAAAATATTAATCCATGCGAAAAAGTGGCAACATCGTCGGTAGTTTTTTGTTTCACCAGGAGCTGGTACCACTGGCTCGAGGGAGCTCCCATCACAACGCTTCATCGCTCTCTCTCAAGAGACGTTTAAATTGACCGCGCTACCCCCACCCGATCGGTATTTGGGACGTTGCTGCTCGTTTGGGCTGCGTGCGCAGAAATTTCATTTTTTAGTACTTTTTTCACTATTATTAGTAAACGATGCTCCTAGGCGACAATCTTTTTCACTCAAAAAAAAATTGATCACATGTTCTAAATGTGTCTAAAGTTTCATGACTTTGGCTGTATTTTTTCCTTGGGTTTTGCAGTTTTTTTTGTGATTTCCATAAGATCACGGGTTAAATGACCACTTTTTCAAAAATTCATAATAAATTAACCATGCTCCCCAGCAGTCTGAAACTTTGCACACGCCTTTTCCATCATTTAAAGAATACGTAAAAAAAAAAGAAAAAAATTAAAAAAAAAAAAGAAAACAAGAAAAACCTTGCGAATTGGCTAGACAATTCTATTGGATTTCTATTGAACTTTCTATTAGTTTTTGGTCTATTGAATTAAAAAATTCCGCAGCTCATCTGCGCCGTTTTTTTAATATAAATCTTCAAGGGAGAATATTCTACAGAGAAAATTAATAGAATGCGATTATTCTTGAATAGCTTATTCTATTCAGCTATTTCCTATAAAACTTTCTCGGCTCAAATTTTCTAAGTTTTTTGGTTGGATAATCTCGATAAAAAGAAAACAAAAATAGAATGAAAAAAAATTGGAAAATTTCAGTCCAGGAAATTCTGTTGAAAATATCTCAATAGAAGAAATTGTATAGAAAAAGCGAACACTATTGATTTTTTCTATAGAATATTTTCTATTGAACATTTCAATAGAATCGACCAGACATTAATAGAATTTTCAATAGAAGTGCGATAGAAATCCAATAGAATTTTCTAACGAAATCGCTAGCTCCTCTATGAAGATTTTTCGTGCATGTAACCAATAAGTACTGATCACAGTAATTCATTAGGAGTTTCTTCACGTCCGCCAAGCCGAATAGTTCAAGGATCTCATGCAGCACTCGGAGAGTTTCCTTTCATGATTTCCTTGAGATGGAAAGTATATGGACATCTCTGCGGGGGTTCGATCATAAGTCCAAGACACGTTGTAACAGCTGCTCACTGCGTCGTTGAATTCACTCCTGAAGAGTTGAATGTTACCAGTAGATTTATCAACCAAAATGATAGATCCATGGTGGTATCGAAAGTCAAGAAGATCGCGATGCATCCAGATTTTGTCAGGAAAGTGAAGGGGGGACGGGTGCAGAATGACATAGCAGTCCTCACAGTTGAGTAAAATTTCACGCGCGAAAAAATTTTGTAGAAAAATCCCCAAATTTTGTTGGATTCGGATAGATTTCTACTGAATTTCTATTTACAATTCTAGTGGCTTTGGGCCGATTCTATTGAAGAATTTCACTGCTTCAGGTTTTTGTTCGATCGTGAGAGTTCGATCATGAAATTGATTGCTGTTGCAATTTGTTGTTGGATCAACAACAAATGATTGCTGTTGATCATTTGTGGTTGAAAACAAATTATTTTGAAACCAATATTCAGGGAAGGGTTACAAAATTTTAACGTCGGGGCAAGGTTGGGCTGATGTTGGCTACCAACATTGGTACAATGTTGTTTGTTGGGGCAATGTTGGATTCAATGAGTCATCAAAGGTTAAAACTTTTAACGTTGAGGCAATGTTGGTTGGCAATGTTGGGGCAATGTTGGTTGCCAATATCGGGGCAATGTTGTTTGTCAACGTTGGGACAATGTTGAATTCAATGAATCATCAAAGGTAAAAATTTCAACGGTTGGGCTATGTTGGTTGTCAACATTGGGACAACGTTGGCGACCAACATTGGGAGAACATTGGCTACCAACATTGGGACAACGTTAGCGACCAACATTGAGACAACGTTGGCTACCAACATTGGGACAACGTTGGCTACCAACATTGGGACAACGTTGGCGACCAATAAAATTGTTGAATTCGGTAGGGTTTTCTATAAAAAAAATTCGCACAATTTTACTTTTTGCTTCTCATTTCCGAAAATTTCAAATTATAAATGTTTCATTTTCTCATTCAGCTGAAGGACGATTTGAAATTAGATGGTTACTTGCAAGACGCCATTGAGTTACCTATCAAACCCTATGTCCCGAAGAGAAATGCAGTTGTTGCCGGATGGGGCTACACACAAGCCCTCCTCGACCACGATGACGACACAGACACTTCGGATGATCTCAACAAACTGAATGTTACTATTATAACTCATGACGAATGTCGTGAAACACGACTTCCACCTTTTGAGTATCAGATTTGTGCTACTAATCCCGATGGAGTTGTATGCCAGGTGAATTTGATTGCTAGCGATATTTTTAGCGACGAGAGTTGTTTTAATTAGAGTGTTTGAATATTCTAGGGTGACAGTGGAGGGCCATTAGTTGTTGACAATATCCTTGTTGGCGTTCTTTCTACGTCGAGTTGCTTGATCGGATCGACGCCCGCTTTCATGGATGTCTATTATTTCAAAGATTTTATTGAGAAAGCAATGAACGAGGACTAATTGAGATGACTGGAGTATTTCCGCCGTTTGAGAGAACGGACTTCGTATTATAAACATGTCGGCTTATGCCGTGATTGAGCCAATTCACTTTTGATACTACTGCGCATCGTGGTGCGCAGATCTCGGTCGACCCATCCAATCACAATGAGTCTCTTTCCGTCAAGAGAAGAGTTTATTTAATTAAAAATGGATTAATGGGTCGTACAATAAGGGAATCCCCGCCGTTTTTCGATTTTTTATTTTTGCGCAAATGAAGTGAGTCAAAAATTGAAAAAATTTGTAACCCTACTTTCAAATATATCGAACGTATTAACAATTTTTTAAGTTCATACGTACACCATTGAATTATGAAAATCTTTTGTAAACTTGAATCGCTGAAAATCCCGTGTTTAACCTCAAAATTTCAAAATGTTGCATCTAATCAATTCGAGTTCTAGGTTCATCTGACGACTGTTTTTTTTCATTCCCATTTCCTATTCATGGAAAGTTACAAATTATCGGTGAACGAGGAATAAATGATTTTTAACGATTCTTTTGCCACTCTGCTCGCCAACCCCCTATACCACCATGATTTTATTCTGACCCCTGTGACCTTTAATCTGACCCTCGTGACTCTTATTTTGACCCTTCATTTCTGACCTTTAATTTTGGAGTCTTAGTTTCGAGCACCAAATTTTCATCACCAAAAGTTGATTTGGATTGTTACAATATAGAAGGATATTGAGACCCTTATTTTGACCCTTAGTTTCTGATCCCCATGACCCCTTTGGACCCTTAATTTGACCTTTGTGATCCTTAATCTAACCCTTGTGATTCTCATTTCGATCCTTAATTTGACCCTGGTGACCCTTAGTTTTTGACCCCCATGTCCCCCCTCATTTGGACGATCAAGCTGACCCTTGCAACTCTCACTCTAGCCCTCGGACTCTTATTCTGACCCTTGCGGCCCTTATACTGACCCTCATGACCCTTCATTTGACCTTGATGATCCTTATTCTGACCCTCATAACCCTTTCTGTGACCCTCATGACCCTTAATTACGGAGTCATAATTTCGAGTACCAAATTTTTATCACCAGAAGTCGATTTAGATTTTCATAATATAGAGACATATTTTTTAAATAAATAGTAGCCTTCGTCATCAGGCCCACAACGTATTTTCTAACGTATGTGAGTTTATAATCCGAACCGAAGGCGAGGCTCATTCGTCAGGAAATACTTTGTGGCCCCTATGATGTAAAGTATTTTATGACATTTCGCTTCACTCCGTTAGATCGCGGTTTTCGGGGTCATTAGTGGCAGTAGCGTATCCGTTCTTGGCAACGGAACAATCGCGTCTAGAGATGCGAATGCGTCACATGACCCGTCATATGACGGTCATGTGACCGTCATTTACGATCACATGACGAGGCGTTTATGACGGCTGTCACAATTCCCCCTCCCCCTTCTGTGACCGTCACAACTTGTCAAGAAAAAATGACAGTCATTTTTCATCTATATAGATGAAACTTTATTTTTTTCTCGGTCAATTTTCAGTTCGCATTTTGAAATGGAAATCACCATTTTTTTCCATCCATATAGATGAAACTAGTTTGTTTTATTCATGACCGTCACAAATTGGAAATTAGTTATGACCGTCATTATGCAACTATATAGATGGTTTGACAACAATTTGGTTACAAATGATTTGTGACAATCATTTGTAGTTGGAAAATTTGTGCGTCACATGACCATCATCTTTTGGTCATATGACGTGATCTAAAAAATGACGGTCATTTTGCATCTCTAATCGCGTCCCTTGATTGCAAATTTGAATCCTGCCGCAAAAAATCAGTCGATAAAGCAGGTGCCCAAGGCTCTCCGCGCCCTCCCCCGTAACCCTCACGGATACAATAACACCCCAACCTTCCTCACCGACCCCCAATAACCCTTCCCCACCCCATTGCGACACCACGTGACTCCATATCGACGTATCGAAACTAGCATTCACCCACACTCAGGTCAAAATAAATCCTCAAATAGTAAAATGGCTGCGGCCAATCAGACGTCAAGTGCTCCTCACTCCGGCTGAATGTCAGTGCATGTAAATCTCGTGAACCCCATCATGTCCCCGAAAAGGGTGAAATGATGTAGTGAATTGGTGTGAAAAAGGGTTGAGCGCAGAAACCGAAAAATTTTGGCAACTGAGGTTTTCTCAGGTAGTGAAGGGGAGTGGGGCGGTTACCGTGTGGTTAAATACGTCTCCTTTTTGCGGATGACACTTGCTCGGTCGCCTTGCTGGCGATTTGACAGGGTGAGATAAAAAAAAATAAACAGAGAATTATCGAGAGCATCGACAAGTGGATAATGCAGGCCTGGGGAGTGACGATTGTCACGGGCATCTGTCGACGATTGATTTTGTCATCAATTGCACGTTAATCAGGTAATTATTGGCACAATGGGGAATAATGGTCGATTTTTTATTGCGGAGGCGATGATTGATCGAGCGAGTGAATTTTTAAGAAAATTCCTCCCTCGCGGGGGGATTTATTCTCACACGAGGGGTCAATTATTCAAGGGGTCGTTGGGCTTCGCCATTGATTTTCCCTTTTGTTGTGATTTCGAGGGAGTCATATGGGAATTATGCAATATAACAGCTGTGACGTTGTTAGAGTTGTTTTTGGGGGTTTTCGGTTGAGGGAATGGGGTGGGTGTCAGGCCAGAGGCGAGTGGTGATTTTGCATTCTTTGCGGTTACAGGGAATTTATTGAAAAATGAACATAATGAGGAAATTGAGGGGTGGCAACGCCGTGGGGGGAATGGGCTCCAGTGGGACTGGAAGTGTGGATGATTGCATGGGGGGCACCAATCCACAACACACTGCACTTGGTCTGATGCATCTCAAGAAGCTTTTCTCGGAGTATACTCATCCACCTAATCCACTGTCCGAGGCTGAGAAGGATGATAAACTTTATAATATGCTGCCACTTTTTTGCAAGGTAATTAATCATCGGGGGGTGAAGGAGGTGGGGTGGGGGATGGATTGTGGTGCGATTAATTGTGGGATCGATTTTTTGGGCGGTCTGAATTTTCAGTTGCAGAAAAAACGGCATTTCAAGATTTCAAGTAGCTTAATTTATAATTGTTATTGTACAGATTGTTTCAAAAATTTTGAAAAAAAATCCTCTAAAATTGCAGGCCCTGGATTATTTTTAATATTTTAAGCGTCTGCGGGATAAACGAACAATAAACAATTAATTTTTTTGCACTAACTATCAGTTTTCAGACGTATATAATCGATCTTCAATGCATGAAAAATCTCACTCCAATAGCCAGCGACTTTTAAAACTTGTAGTAGTCTGCCCTTAATTAAACTTCGTGAAAAAAACTTGATTAAAACAACTTGGTAACAAAAAAATCTTGAAGAAAAAAAAATCGAACCTGAACTTGAAAAACATGAAAACAACTTAAACTTTTAACGTATAAAGAAAATTGCAAAACAAAATTGAAAAAAGTCCACATACAGACACCTAAAAATTGCATATTCGGATTTTTTGGACCATATTTAGTTACCCTAACATAAAAATTTGGAAACTTAAATTTGAACCATTATAAAGCTTCCATTCGGAAGCGAAAATGAAAAAAAAAATGAACAAACACAATGCAAAACATTATACAAAACGTATCCAGAATAGACAACATCAAGTCTTGATTACAAATGTTTTGCCACAAATTCATATGCACAAGGAAACAGGACTCTGAAATTCCAAACACAAACGCAGATTTTACCTATATTCTTACAAAAGACAAGATAACCAAAAGGTTTTATAGACGAAAGTTCAATTTGACAAAAGTCCAATTAACCAAAAGTTCACGTTCCCAAGTTGAATTTAACCAGGTTTTTTTTAAATTTTGTCATTTCCTCCGATTCCAAACTACCCTCTAACAATTTCAAGTGAACCTCCACTAAAATTACCTCATTCTATTCCGTCCTTCGTAAAATGCTACTCAAATTCCTATCTAACATATTTATACCATTTGGCATTCTGGAGTCATCAAACATGACAAATAAAGTAGTATCTAAAACAGTAATTGAGTGTAACATAAGACACTACCCACTTACCTATAGATTTCCCTAAAAAATTCCTTGTATTCAGTTGATCCTCATCAACCCACATGAATGAGAAATTCTGGTACAATTCTTTGTTGGTCATCAATACTTGATCGATATCTCTGAATCTAATCTAGGCAGTTGAAATTCCATATGAATATTTTGGTAGATTTCACCTACCTCTACAAAAAAATTTCACTATAATGTTGCTATTTTCTCCAGATTTAAAAATATCCTCCAAAAACTTCCAGTGATCCTCTCCTTGAATTGTCTCATCCCATTCTCTCACTAAACAATCCTAAAATACTATTTAAGGGTGCCAAGTGAATTTGGCGATGACCTTGAAAATTGACACTCACCAACAAAGGTATAATTTTTTTAATGAATAGTATTAGACAGATGGTGAACATCGGTGACAATTTTTAAATTTTAGAACTTATAGATATCGAGAAATTAAATAAACAGAATCAGTCTTATACACGGCCTCTTATGGAGTTTTGATTAAATTGAACGTTTCAACNGAAATTAAATAAACAAAATCAGTCTTATACACGGCCTCTTATGGAGTTTTGATTAAATTGAACGTTTCAACCCCCTAGGAACTCAAGAAAAATTTGAAAAAATTTGAAGATATGGGGAATGATGTGTTCAATGTGATGGCGACAAAAAACAATGGGGTACCGGGGTGAATAAGAGAGATATTTCAACCCGCCGTACCCATTTGATCCCATGCTTTCTCGAGGTTCGTCACGCGAAATAGAGGATTTTCCGCATTTATTTTTTCGATGTCTAGTTCCGGTTGCGGGTTTGAAATTTCGTCGGATGGATGAATACATATTTCTCTCCAATGATGGAGGGAAAAAAAATTTGTTTTTAAAATCTTTTTTCAAATTCACTTGGCGCCCTTAAATTCTGATTTTAAGTATTTATAATAAGTATTTGGTGTTGTGTACTCATTAAACATGACAAATAAACTAGTCTCTAAAAAATAGGAATCAAATATAACATGAAACATTGCGCACTCACGCAAAGAATCCCCGAAAAAAATTCCAGGTATTCGGTTCATCCCCCTCAACCGACATGAACGAAAAATTCTGGGACATCCTAGCCTTCACCCAGCAAGTCTCAAAGCTGATGGTCTCCGAAATTCGTAGACGTGCCTCTAACCAGAGCACAGAAACCGCGAGTTGTGCAATCGTAAAATTCCTAGAGATCGAGAATAGCGAAGAATCATCCAACGGTTGGATGCTGCTTTCCGCGTTAAACCTCCTAGCAGCAGGGGATACCTCCCTGATCCAAGCGATGACAACCGCCGCAGTCCCCTCGACCCTCGTAAAATGCCTCTACCTCTTTTTCGACCTTCCCGAAATGTCTGACGTGGAGGCAGACACTCGCGACGCCGAGAGTGAGTTTAGCCCCCGTGAGCGTAGAATCCTCCTCCAAAAGATATTCGTGCAGCTCCTGGTGCGCCTTTGCAGCCACCCATACCCAGCTGAGGAGCTCGCCCGAAAGGACGACCTGACCCTCCTCTTCTCAGCGATAACAACAGGCTGTCCCCAATACAACGTAATGTGGCGAAAGAGCGCTGCTGAGGTTCTCATGACCCTCTCGCGTCACGGTTTAACCCAGAACGTTGTCGCCTACATCCACAACAAGGGCTGCATAGCCCTCTGCATCGACAACATGCAACGTGTACCTGAATTAGCGCCCCTAGAAGTTGTCGAGATGTTCGTAACTGTTTTCTGTTTCCTAAAAGACTCCAGCGAAGTGTCGCAAACACTGCTGGACGACTTCCGGTCATGCCAGGGTTACATATTCCTGTCTGAATTTCTCCTGAGGCACGCGCCCTCGAGACTGGAGCAGGAGGAGAAGGGCGAGGCCCAGGACGCAATAAGAAATCTCGTCCTGATGCTAGCGTCCTTAACGATGTGTGGGCACACAGAGCTGAAGCCCTCTCAAGCCAGCATGGGCTCACTGTTCCAAATAATGGGCTTTACTCTCCCTCAACCCAGCAATCGAGGGGGCTCAGTCAGGAACATTCAGGCCTTTCAAGTCCTTCAATCAGTTTTCGTTAAGTCAAATTCACCACTCCTTTGCTGCACTATTCTCGATGCCATATCAAGTGTTTATCACAGTGACAATGCCAACTACTTCATACTCGAGGGACAGAATACATTATCACAATTTGCTGAGAAAATCCATCTTAAAAATCCAGAGATACAGGAGAAATTCTTTCAATTACTCGAATTTATCGTATTCCAGTTGAACTTTGTGCCTTGCAAGGAGCTCATATCTCTGTCGATATTACTAAAGTCAAATAATTCAGTCAATTGTTGTATAATGTGCATGGAGACACTGTTGAACATACTTAGACATAATGTTATATTCAAGGATGTATACAGGGAAGTTGGTATGCTTGAGGTATTTGTTACGTGTCTTCATCGTTATGCTACATTGTTGAAGGACAAACAGTCGGCTAATGATCAGGGTCTCGAGTACAAAATGTGTGTTGAGCAGGAGAGGATGGGGGCACTGGTGATGGAGGCATTGACAACATTGCTAGCTGGTAATGTCCAGAATGCTAATGTCTTCAGAGAGTGCACGGGTGCAAGGTGTGCGCACAATCTAGTCCCTCACCTCGACTGCCGACATCAGGCCCTGGGAATCGTGAGGGAATTGATACTGTCAGCTGGGGGGGACGACGACATGGCGACCCTTCTGGGGATAATGCACTCGGCGCCCCCTAATGCCCTCGTCCTCAAGACCCACATTCTGAAGACACTGTTGGCTTGTCTGAGGGAGTCCCACAGGACTCGAACAGTCTTTAGGAAAGTCGGGGGGTTCGTCTACGTGATGTCTGTTCTGGTTTCTCTGGAGGGACAGTTGGGCTCTCAGCCACCGAAGCCGGTGGAGCCCTGCAATGATATCCCACAGAGGAGCCAGCAAGACGAGAACCAACTTTTGACACTCCTCCATGTCGTCTTCCACACGATAAGCACAGCTATGAGGTTCGAGCCGGCAAATGCCAAGTTTTTTCACCTTGAGATATGCCAGTCGAGTCTCTGTGACACCCTCAGGCTCCTCGGGTGTTTCTCGTCTCAGGTGAGACTCGGGGAGATGAACATGAGACCCACCATGAATTTCCATAACACTCTTACGAGCCTGTTCAATGGAAGTGTCGTGGAGCCCTCGTTCCCCCCGGAGATGCCGAAGAACCTGGCTTACGCCTGTCTCTTGATGAGACTCCTGTACGACGTCGCCCTCGACACCTTCGACAAACCAAATTTCGCTGCTATTGGCACGCGTTCGCCCTCCCACCGACAATCATCAAACCTGGAGAACCAGAAGTCTCTGGATTCCCCAGGAAGCGGAAAAAGGGCAGCTGTTAGCTCTCTTAACCTGAACCCCCCGGTGCCAGAACCCATCATCGTGCACCCGGGTATCGTAGTAGGAATGCTGCACCTCGTGCCGTCGATAGAAGAGCCCTCCCTCCCGGAATTCGCTCTAGCCCTCCAGATCTACGTAGCCGAGGTAATAAAGAGCCTCGTAAGGACCGAGAGGAATCAGCAAGTGATGTGTGACTCAGGGATGGCAGGGGAACTCTTGACCATGGGGAGGATAGCCCTACAGGACGAGACCCATCCCCTGCATCAGCCCTTACAGTACATCATTGAGAGGCTTGCGGCGCAGTCCCTCGAGCCGAAGGACCTCCGTGAGTTCTTCAGACTGGGGGATCCTCTCTGCTGCATCTCCTTGGATGATATCGACCAGAACAAGCCAAGAGGAGGACCCGTTCCGTTAACACGGATAAAGACTCTCGTCTCCATGACGACGCCCAAGGACTTCAGGGCTCACGGCTCCTGCACGCTTCCACCGTTCGTCGAATTCGACATGAGTGCAGAGGGCTTCGCTTGTCTCTATCTACCGAGCATTGCTCCCCAGAGCACAACCCCTCCGACAGTGGTATCAGCTGACAACAGCGTCCTGGGGGGGATTGGCTCTGGGGACCGGCTCTTCCCCCCCCAGACGGGGCTGACCTACAGCACGTGGATCTGCGTGGACAAATTTTCCGATTGCAAGACGGATCCTCACTGTGTCAGACTGCTGACGCTTGTCAGAAGCCCACCCTCGGGGGCTCGGGACCTCATCTGCTTCGCGGCTGTCCTCAGCGCCAGGGACAAAGCCATTATAGTCTCGACGCAAGAGATAACTATGCCTCAGAGCATCGGAGAGTGGGAGCCGGAGGGGATCGGTGAGAGCGGAGCTCGGGTCTGGTGTCCTGATCTCCTCCATGAGGGACAGTGGCATCACATCGCGATCGTTCTTAACAGGGCTGTCCTGAAGAACTCAAGCTTCTCGCTATACCTAGATGGCCAACATATACAGAGCCAGAAGCTTCATTACATCTCACAAACGCCGGGTGGTGGCGCTGCGAACCTAACGGTGGCGTCCCCGGTCTATGGGTACATTGGGACTCCCCCTTGTTGGAGGAGATACTCGAGATTAACTTGGAAACAGGGGCCGTGCCACTTGGTTGAGGAAGTCTTCAACTCTCAGAATATATTAACGCTTTTCAAGCTTGGTCCTCATTACATGGGAAGCATGCAGGCACCCCAGTTCATAGGCCCCGAACCCTTCCCGGCACTTCTGGCCGAGGAGAAAGTGGTCTTTGGTTTGAACGCCAAAGCGATGTCGCAGTTGACGCTTGCTAAGATCAGAAAGGTTTACAGTAGAGCTGACAACAAGTCTATAGCTAAGCAGCTTGGCATGTCTTCTCATGAGAATGCAACACCTATCAGAGTTCTTCATAACTCGGCGGGGCACCTCAGTGGCCCAGCCAGAGCTCTTGGTGGCGTTGTCGTGGGGTACCTAGGGGTGAGGGTCTTCAACCCTCGTCCGGTGGCGACGACGATAGATAATGTCGGAGGGTGCTCTGTTCTCCTCGGCCTGATCGCAATGGCGCAGGACGTGGAGTCCCTCTACGCTGCGGTGAAGGCACTCGTCTGCGTCGTGAGGTCTAATCAAGCAGCGCAGCAGGAGATGGATCGTCGGAGGGGGTACCAGACCCTCGCGATGTTACTGAGGAGAAAGTGCCCTTTACTGAACAGCCACATTCTGCATCTGACCTTCAGCCTCGTGGGTACCGTAGACAGCGGACGAGAGACAAGTGCCATTCCAAACGTTACAGCGTTCCAAGATCTCCTCTGTGACCTTCAGGTGTGGCACGAGGCACCTGGTGAACTCCTTCGTTCATTACTGGAACATCTTTACGAGCTTGTCGCAGAGTCCAACGAGAAGCGAACCAACCTGAGACTCATGAGGGATCTTCAACTCGTTCATAAACTCCTTCACATTCTCAGCGAAGTGAAGCAGAACTCCACGAGGCAGGTGTTGCTGGCACTTTTGAGTATTCTTCTGGCGCAGCCCAGGCAAGCTGACCTCCTCTGGTTCGGTCAGTTCATCGTGGCCACACTGCCAGTCATGTCGGAGAAGCATCTCGTGCCGAGGGAGAACGAAGGACCGAAGGAGGGAGAGGGCGAGATCATTCTACTGAGGAACAGATGTCTCCAGCTCCTTCATTCGTTGTTATTCAACGGGAACAAGGTCAACGCCACCATGTGCGACGAACTGGCAAAGGTTCTGGGGCTCGACTGGGTTCTCTTGTTCCTCCAACCTGGTCTCCACAGTACGACAGTCGTCTGGGGACTGCGGATCCTCGTGGCGATCTGTTCGGTCCAACCGATTCTCCAGAAATTCAAGGACGGTACCAGTAACGGCGGCTGGTTAAGACACACCGATCATAATAAGATGGCAATGGCCCTTGGTTGTCAGCAACAAAATGCCCCTGGAGAGGTCAAACCCTCGGGTCTTCACGTTCCAGGTTTTCAGCATCTGGGATGGCTACTACCTCAACACGTCGACCTTGTCCCAGAACTTTATTTCCTTTTTATAGCCCTGATGATGGGACAACCCATCAAACTACTGCCAGCTGACTCCAAACTCGAGCTTGATAACGTCTGGAACTTCATGTTTGGAGTACCCGCCAATCACTCATTATCATCATTTGCATCTAAGATCAATCTCTGTCCAGATGCTGTTGTTACACTCCTCGCTATGGTCAGAACCATGCTCAACATGCACTTCAACTCACCGGATGGTATACCGGAGTGGCTGAACGACTACCCTGTAACCATCATCCAATTTCTATTCTTCCTCTATCATAACTTCACGGACTTTATGCAGGTGTTTATGTCGGCTGAGGTACTGGGAGCCCTCGCAGGGACCCTATTCCCGAAGCCTTTGAGTGGTTCTCAAGACAGCAGTGGTGCCAGCACACCAGCTGACGACCAAGAACCAGTCCTCGTGAGGTCACCCTCCAAGGACATTGGATTGACGAATCATTCAGCCAGAAAATTCGTGATGGACTTCCTTCGAGTCATCGTCGTTGACTCCTTGTCACTACCTGTCACAGCAAAGTCCCCAAGGGTCATCGATCTCGTCCTGGAGGCCTGGCCGGAGTACGCCTCCACTGGTCAGCAGACGAGATACCAGACCGAAATCCTATCGATTCTTATGGAGCATCTTCTGGCTGCTGATGTTCTCATCGGCGAGCAGGCAGCATTGCCTGTCGTTCCTGGAGGGTCCACCAACAACATCACGAGTAATGTCTGTTACGTAGCTGCGAGGATAGTGGATAAACTCTGGCAAGGGGCGCTGACGAAGGACCCCCACGAGATCTTCGACTTCATAGTCAAACTTATTGGCCAAGCCAAAAGACGACCAGGAGCTGTCAGTATGGAGGGTCTCCACCAGTGTCTCAACAGAACGATTCTCTTCCTGCTGTCGAGAACAACAGACTCCATCGCTGATCAGATGGCAGTGCTAGAGGCCCTCCACAAGCTGACGACCCACCGTCTCCTGGTCTTCGGCGCTGGCAACCACGAGCCCGAATTCATCAGCTGTTTGACATACTGCCTGCTTCAGCTGACAGCAGACATCAAGATCATGCTGGACACCAACATGAAGACCACGTGGCACGTCAATCCTCAGGTAGAGTCCAGTGACGACCGTCTGACCTCACACCAAGGCCACAATCTCATGGCGGTGGCTGCCACACGTGTCTGGGAGGAGCTGTACGTCTGCAAGAAACCGGCGATCGAAGAAGTCTTCAAGATCACTCTCCCCCCGCCGATCGGAAACGAAAGGGCCCCGGAGCTCTCAGTGGTGCGAGAGTTAGTTCACGAACAGGCGACGAGGCTCTGGCTCAACTACGTGGTTCTAGAGAGAAAGGCTTCGTACAGGGGCCCCTGGGAACTCCACAACCAGATTCAATCGAAGATCCAGAAAGTGACGGGGGGTCTTACACGATTAGCCAGCAGGACAAAAGTCAGGAAGGAAGAGTCCATCCGACCGAGATTGAGACTCCACCACAGCACAGTCGCCCAGTGGACCGAGCAACACGTAGCTCTAGTCCGAGAACTAGCGGCTTCTAAGAAACTACAGCAGCAGCAAACGTACCAACACACTCAGCGATACGTCTACCAGGAATGGCTGCAAACAGAAACCGAATTGACGAGGGAGCGGGGTCTGTGGGGCCCTCCCACCCCCACAATCCTCGACAAATGGATGCTGGACATGACCGAGGGCCCATGCAGGATGCGCAAGAAGATGATGAAGAACGATCTCTTCTATATTCACTACCCCTACCGCCCGGAGCTGGATCATCCCGATAATAAACAGCTGAAGTACAAGGTGGCTTCGAGCAATGACAGCAAGGAGTACTACCTGAAGCAACTGGGGAACAACTCAGGGATGTTCGAGAGAGAACGGGATCCCGTGATTGATGACACCCCTCTGAACGTCAATGAAGGATCGACTGAGAGCGAGCCTCCGATGGTCCCCTGCACACTGGAACGCCATGCCAGCGAGCCTGACGAGACCACTGAGGACAATGAACAGGAGGAGGAGAACCAGGCTGTGCCTGATAATCAAACCTTGTTGAGATTGCTTGAAGAACACGAGAAGATCAGCCACATGTTCAGGTGCGCTAGGATCCAAGGGTTGGACACGACAGAAGGCTTGTTACTCTTCGGAAAGGAACACTTTTACGTGATCGATGGGTTTACCCTGCTGAAGAGCCGGGAGATTCGGGACATCGAGAGCCTTCCGGACGCCTACGAACCTATTCTACCATCTCCGGGGTCTCCCCGGAGGTCACGCGCCATGAGGCAGTGCTCTAAGTTCAATTACGAAGACATCAGAGAGGTCCACAAGCGAAGGTACCTTCTCCAGCCGATGGCGCTAGAAGTTTTCTCTGGGGACGGACGAAACTACCTCCTGGCGTTCCCGAGGAAAGTCAGGAACAAGGTGTACCAGAGGTTCATGACGTTCGCAACGGCAATCGCTGACAGCGCACATCAGTCCGTAGCGGGACAGAAGAGGACAGCTAATGTGGAACAAGCAACAGGACTCTTGTCTAATCTCATTGGAGAGACATCTGTCACGCAACGTTGGGTCAGAGGGGAAATCTCCAACTTCCAGTATCTGATGCATTTGAACACCCTGGCAGGCCGGAGTTACAACGACCTGATGCAATACCCGATCTTCCCCTGGATCCTAGCTGATTATGACACTGAGGAGATTGACTTCAATGATCCCTCGACGTTCAGGGACTTTACGAAGCCGATGGGAGCTCAAAGCCCTGAAAGACTCTTGCAGTTCAAGAAGAGGTACAAGGAGTGGGACGACCCACACGGGGAGACACCTCCGTACCACTTCGGCACCCACTACTCCTCAGCGATGATCGTCTGTTCGTATCTCGTTCGGATGGAGCCGTTCACTCAGCACTTCCTGCGGCTCCAGGGAGGGCACTTCGATCTGGCTGACAGAATGTTCAATAGTGTCAAGGAGGCCTGGCTGTCTGCATCAAAGCACAACATGGCGGATGTCAAGGAGCTGATTCCCGAGTTCTTCTACCTTCCTGAGTTCCTGGAGAACTCTAACCACTTCGATCTGGGGTCGAAGCAGTCAGGGGTTCAGCTCGGAGACATCGTCCTACCACCATGGGCCAAACAGGACCCCCGAGAGTTCATCAGGGTCCATAGACTAGCACTGGAATGTGACTACGTCTCCCAGAACCTCCACCACTGGATCGACCTGATCTTCGGGTACAAGCAGAACGGTCCGGCAGCTGTGGACGCTGTCAACGTCTTTCACCATCTGTTCTACGAGGGCAACGTTGACATCTACAACATCGATGATCCTTTGAAGAAGAACGCCACCATAGGATTCATCAACAACTTCGGCCAGATCCCGAAACAGCTGTTCAAGAAGCCCCACCCCTGCAAGAAGATGAGTGTAAGAACCTCGGTGATCGACCCCGGGCCGATAACCCCGGGCCTCAGCATCACAGCGTCTGACCGTCTCTTCTTCCACAATCTAGACAACTTGAAGCCCTCATTGCAACCGATCAAGGAACTCAAGGGGCCGGTGGGCCAGATCCTCCACGTCGACAAGTCTGTTCTCGCGGTGGAGCAGAACAAATGCTTAATCCCCCCGTCCTTCAACAAGTACGTCGCCTGGGGTTTCGCCGATCACTCTCTGAGAATAGGAAATTACGACTCTGAAAAAGCAATATTCGTCTGCGAAGCGATGATGCAGAGCAGCGGAGAGATTGTCGCCTGCGTATGTCCGTCTTCCAAGCTGATTGTGACCGCCGGTACCAGCTCGGTGGTGACGGTCTGGGAGTACTCGAAGCGTCAGTTATCGATAAAGCAATGTCTGTATGGTCATACTGAAGCAGTCACCTGTCTTGCGTGTTCTCCAGCTTACAACGTCATCGTGTCCGGCTCCAGAGATGGCACAGCCATCATCTGGGACCTCTCGAGATGCCTCTTCGTAAGGCAGCTGAGAGGCCATGCTGGACCGGTGGCTGCAGTCGCCATTAACGATCTGACAGGTGACATCGCCACGTGTGCAGCAACCTGGCTGCACGTCTGGAGTATCAACGGGGAGGAGCTAGCCAGTGTCAACACATGCGTCGGTCGAGCTGACAGGATGCAGCAGATCCTCTGTGTTGCCTTCAGCCAGACACACGAGTGGGACTCGCAGAACGTTGTTATGACGGGGTCCACTGACGGCGTCGCCAGGATGTGGTCCATGGATTACGTTCAGGTACCCGCAGAGGAGGACAAACCCGAGGAAACCGTCGTCAGAGAGACTAAACGCCAGCTGACTGAGGAACAGGACAGAACGCAAAACACCAAGAAGAGGGTTCACGAACTGGTGAAACAGATGAGCATTTCTGCGGAGGAGTCTGGGATGCTGATGAAGAGTGGATCTGAGAGTAGTTTGTCGGAGGCTGAGGGCTCCAAGGAAGCCCTCAGGGTTCATGAGGAGAAGGAGGAGTGCTCTGACAATGAATCAAGCAATGGTTCCGGTCATAAGAGCTCGTCGAGAAGTGCTCAGTCACCGACGGTTGTATTGAGGAGAAAGAGTCGGGGGAATCCCATGTTTAGGAAGAGCGAGGGTGGGGGGAGGGCGGATAGCGAGGGGACACGAGTGGATGAAGCTAGTAGCGCTCCGGTCGACTCGGAGGGAGCTCTCAGGACCAGCAAGAGTGACACCAGTCTCACCGATAGCTTCGTGATGGTGAACGAGGCAGATACCAAACCCAAGAGGATCAATCCTCAGAATATCCTAAGGGAGGGGTTCAAGTGGCAGAGACAGCTTGTTTTCAGGAGCAAGTTGACGATGCACACGGCGTATGATAGAAAGGATAATGCGGAGCCTGCCTCCATTGCTGCTCTCGCTGTCTCCAGGGATCACAGGACTGTTTATGTGGGGGACACCAGGGGGAGGGTTTTCTCGTGGAGTGTTTGTGAGCAGCCTGGGAGAACTGTTGCTGATCACTGGTTGAAGGATGAAGGGGCAGATTCTTGTGTGGGGTGTGGAGTCCGGTTTAATATTTATGAGAGGAGGCATCACTGCAGGAATTGCGGCCAAGTCTTCTGTTCTAAGTGAGTTCATTTTGGTTTTTGAGAAAAGGAATTTTTCTTTTGTTTGCGTAGGTTATGTGTCATCTAGATATTACGCAGAAGGCATCTAGGTATGAATTCAGGTCTGAACAGTCATTCATATATAAACAAGAATTTAGGTCCGGGCGAGAATTCAGATCCGGACGGGAATTCATGCCTGAACACGAATTTAGGAATGTGCAGGAATCCAGGCATGACCAGGAATTCATGTCGAACTTGAATAAGATAAGAATTTGAATTCTGGTTTGAGAATAAATTCAAGCCTGGCCTTAGATCACATAATCGGAATTCAGGTCAGAACTTGGGTTCGATAAAAACCTGAATTCTGGTCTTATAATAAATTCACGTCTGGGCGTTAATCAGATAAGAACCTGAATTCCGATATAGACAGGAATTCATACCTGGCCATGAATTCAAGTATGAACCTGAATTTAAATCTGAATATGATTTTTTTAAAATCATGTCCAAAAATCATGATTTTTAACAATCGGACCCCGACGGGATTTATATCGTGCCTGAACATAAATCCGGTCTGGACCTGAATTTTGGTATGAACAGGAATTCATTTCTGGACATGAACTCAGACGTGGGCATGGATTCCTGTCTCGATATGAAATCAGGTCTGAATCTTAATTGAAGTCTGGACCTGAATTTAGGTTTAAACGTAAATTCCTGTCCGGTCAGAAATTATGTCTGGACTTGATTAAAAAAATCATATTCAACAATCATGATTTTTAAAAATATGGCCTAAATCCAATTTTGGTATTAGACAGGAATTCATACTTTGACCTGAATTCAGATCGAAGTATGAATTCCTGTCTCACTATGAAGTCAAGTCTGAATCTGAATTTAAATCTGGATCTGAACTGATATCTGTGCATAAATTCATGTTTGGACATGAATTCAGGGTTAAACGTGAATTCCTATTCGGACATAAATTATATCTTGACATGATGTAAAAAAATTGTGTTATTCACAATTATCGTTCTCTGTTTGGGTGTAGATGCAGCAGATTTGAATCCAAAATATCACGACTAGGAATATTGAAGCCTGTACGTGTCTGCCAGGGATGCTACGCCTCCCTGAGATCCCAGAATTCAATGGAAAGCAACAATACCTAATACCTGAATTCCAAAGCCAGATTTCTACGTAGTTAGATGACTCTAATGAAACCACCAAATGTCCTTCCAGATGATTTTATTATCGAGGCAATTCCAATCTACGTGAGTATCATATTTTCACAGAGTTCATTAATTCATTGAAACAACACCGTTTATTGAAATTGGATATCTTCGATGTGATGATTTTTCAGTCGTGGCCCTGTCGAAGATTGATAATTTTTTTTTTCTCATCATTGTTTCTCAGAGAAATATAAAGAAAAATAGGTTGATAGGGATCGTTGATAGATGAGCCTACAGAATTATTTGTTTCTGTTCCCCAATGGGGATGATGTTAATCGTATTTCTGTACAATGTATAATCATGAATGTTAGGATTTAAGGGCTGATGCATTACTTACAATCTGTGATTTTTTTACTCGTCTCGTAACGAATTATTTTCCAATAAGTTTTTTTAAATTTTATTTTCATTGAGGGATGTTTTAATGAGAATTATTAATTTACGGTTCTTGTAAGTTTTATTTCTTTTGACAATTTTTATTCATTTCATAAATTTATTTTAGTTGATTTATCAATCATTTCAAGACACTGTGCTATCATAGACAATACCATATTCGCATAAAATGTCTGAACAAAATAATAAAGTGAACAAATACCTTAAGAAAAATTCATCTGAAAAAAAAATGATAAAAATTCCATAAAAAGCAAAAAATGAGGGGAAAATTTGATACAAAAAAATAATGAGAATGAGAAACGTAAACGGCTTAGACTAGAGTTATCATACGTGTGTATAGAATTTAATGTGGAATTATGTAGACATTAGTGCATAACAATCAAGACCTATTGAGACATGAGTTATTGATGAGAGGGCATGGGAAATTTTCGAGTGACAATCGACTATCGATCAATGGATTGAACCATTCTCCGAAGATTTCTGAAGCCGATAAATTCTAAAGGATGATAAATTATTCAAGAATGAAGTATTAATTAACGGTGTCCCCCGTTGCATCAAAGAGAAGCCAAATGTATCACAGAAAAAAGGCTGAATCAGTGCTGTATAAAGAAAATTATAAAACACGATCAATATTCTCTATTGTTACATTATGAATTAGTTGAATTGAATATCTTAGATGAGGGATAGTTGATAGAGGGGATTGAGAGGAATAATTAGTGAATGTTCAAGCCCACAGAATAGTGAAGATGAATTAAATGGATAATTAGGCATGCAAAGGGGAAAAGTCAGTCATTTTTTCATTGATTGCATTTTTATTCTACTCTTTCTGAAATTATTTTTCGCAAATTGACATTTTAGGATTTTTTATCGTTGGTAAAATGAGATTGTGACAGTGTTTCGTCGACATACGCATATTTTACTGTGTAAAATTTATTCGATATAAAGGCACAGCAGGATAGTTTCTAGTCACGAGTGTGTGTCGGTGCCTTTTGTATGAATTTCGTCAGATTGCTTTAATTCTACGTTTATCCGATTTTTTTCCAACAGAATTAACGAATCAGTATGGATTATCGATTTTTTTAGGAATATTCGACAGTATTATAAATTGATTTTAATATATTTTGAATTGTATATAAGGACATTTTTTATCGCATCTCGATGTTATAATTTTGTTTTAATCAAAAATTATATAATTTCCGATAAAGTCAGATTTCATGTATTTCTTCATTATAACAATCATTTCAATTAATTGTGATATTACATTCGGTTTTTTTCCATCAATTAAGGTCTCAGTGTTGTTTACAAATTGAGAGATGATTTGTTAAAATCGAGGGAAATCATTTTTTTTCTGATAACTGTAGCAATGGTACATGTGAATAATATACTATACCAGCTGAGAGAATGATGAATAATAAAAATCAACTAATTTGTTACATTAAACGGAAAATAAACATGATTTTGATTAATAGCCACTGAATATCTTGAAGTGTATATAATGACGCAAGCAATTGAATAATAAAGAGGAAGTTATGGTTACATAGCACCCGATGGCTTTTATCGCCCAGACACAGAGCACGATCAGTAGATTATAAATTGATTATACATACCAAAGGAAATAAAGATGAATGAAATAAATATATATTATACATGACTGTCCATTTGTTATCTAGTGTTCTTTATTATAGTCGCACAGGCCTGGATAATTTTAGATTAATTTTTGGAAGAAATTGTTTTTATGAGGTCATTTACGTATGAGAAAATTCAGTAGAAAAACTGACTGATTTCGCTAGAAAATTGTAGGGAATTCTCGTTAACATTCTATTTGTTTTGTGCGCTGATTCCATGAGATTTTTGTAGAAAAAAGTCAATAGATTTTGATTTTTCTATGTAAATATTCTCTTGGAAGTTTTTCTATAAGAGTACTTGGGTATGAATTTTTAAAGTTTTTTTCACTCGGATCCTGCAATGCAAAATAAAACAAAATATCGCAGGAAAAACTTGGAAAATCCGTGCCCACTAATTTTTATAGAAAAAAACTCAAGAGAAGAATTCAAATAGAAAAATCAAAATCTATCAACTTTTTTCTATCAAATATCTGATAGAATCGGTGAAAAAAACAAATAGAATTTTAACGAGAATTCTCTAGAATTTTGATAGAATCCCTATAGAATTTCTGGGGAATTCCAGTAGAATTTCCCAGCGAGTTCATTAAGGTTTTCGATTGAATGTTTTTATAGCTGTTATTCTGGAATTATTTAGATGGTAGACGAGCTCTGATTAATTTCTTAAATGATGATACGTTTTGTTGATTGAAACAGATTGAGAACTCTTTTGTCAATGAATTTTGCCAGAATTTTCGTCATCTGATAAAATGAGAGCGACAAAATAAATGCGCAATGGATAAAATGAGAAAATTGTCATTAATAAATTTGAATAATTCCAAACAAAAATTTAATTGTTAATAAATTTATAAAGGAGATGAAAGAATGGATTGATCACAACTCAAACTTCAATTCATGACATTTTTGCATTATAATCGTGGCAATTTCATATTAATCTGCGATAGAATGATTACATAACTGAAATCATTTCTCCGGAATTATTTCAATAATGAATAAACTCCAATAAATTCTCTAAAAAAAAATGAATTTTGTTGATCAAAACAGATTGTGAAGTCTTTTGACATGAAGAAATCTCATCATCTAACAAAGCGAATGTTCAATTGATAAAATGAGAAACTTGTCATTAATAAATTTGAATAGTTTCAAAAAAAAGTAATTGATAATAAATTTATAAAGACGATGAAAGATAGATTGATCATGACTCTCAAACTTTAATTCACTACGATTTATCCTTACAATCATGACACTTTCATATTAATCTTCAATGGAATAATGATACAATGGAAATGATTATCCTGGAATTTCTTGAATAGTGAATAAAACCCAATTCTATAAAAAAAAACGTTAATTTTTTTATTAGATAGACTGAAAACTCCTTTGCCACAAAGAATTTTCGTCATCTGGTGAAATAAGAGCAACAAAATGAATGTTCCACCGATAAAATTCGAAAACCGTCGTTCATGAATTTCAATATTAAAAAATAAAGAGCATAATTGGCGATAAATTCATGGAGGCAATAAGAAAAGAGATTGATCATAACTCTCAAAGTTTAATTTACCTTCTTTTATTACAGTCACACATTCCATAATTTCATACTAATATTCAATGTAATGATGACATAAATTAAATAATTATTTTGGAATTATTTGAATCAACCCTAATTAATTCTCCAAATAGTGATGCATTTCGTTGATTAAAAAACATTGATAACTCCTGCATTTTCCATTAATAAAATGCGAAAAGTCTCATTTATAAATTCAACTAGTTCCAAAAAAGAGCCTATTGATAATAACTTCAGAAAGACGATAAAAAAATTGATTGATCATATCTCTCAAACTTTAATTTACGACGGTTTGATCTTACAACCATGATAATTTCATATTAACCTTCAATATAATAATGATATAATCGAAATGGTTATTCTGGAATTTCTTGAATAGTCAATAAAACCCAATTTTATTAAAAAAACGTTAATTTTGTTGATTACAACAGACTGAAAAGTCCTTTGACACAAAGAATTTTCGTCATCTGGTGAAATAAGAGCAACAAAATGAATGTTCCACCGATAAAATTCGAAAACCGTCGTTCATGAATTTCAATATTAAAAAATAAAGAGCATAATTGGCGATAAATTCATGGAGGCAATAAGAAAAGAGATGGATCATAACTCTCAAAGTTTAATTTACCTTCTTTTATTACAGTCACACATTCCATAATTTCATACTAATATTCAATGTGATGATGACATAAATTAAATAATTATTTTGGAATTATTTGAATAACTTCAGAAAGACGATAAAAAAATTGATTGATCATATCTCTCAAATTTTAATTTACGCCAGTTTGATCTTACAACCATGATAATTTCATATTAACCTTCAATAGAATAATGATATAATCGAATTGATTATTCTGGAATTATTTGAATAGTGAATGAACCCCAAATCTATTTAAAAAAATGTTGATTTTATTGATTAAAACAGATTGAAAACTCCTTAGACCCAAGGAATTCTCGTCCTCTGATGAAATAAAAGCAACAAAACGAATGTTCCACCGATAAAATTCATGAATTCATTCATGAATTCAAATAATTCCAGAAGACAAATAATATCGTAGTAGTAATATCGTATTCCTTATTCTAAACTCGACAAAGACGATAAAAAATCAGATTATATAGAAAATAAGATTAATCATAACATTCAAACTTTAATACATGACTTCTCGTGTTTTTTGAGTCGATAAGCGTAAAAATTTCTGCTGCACTTGGAGCACTGAACCAGCTGTGCCTTGTGTTTCTCCCAGTCAACTTCAGCGACGTTGATCTCTACAACGTTGATGTTCATCCTTAGTTATTATTGTTGTTGGTTTTTTAAAATTCTAAATAGTCTAGTACCGAACCTTCTGGGGGTGGCAATTCTTCTTCCTCGGGCTCGTCTTTGGGGGGTGGGAGGGGTTTCTCGGCGAGAGCAGGGTGAGAGGGCTTTGATTTCTGGGTGTCTTTTGGGGCTTTTGAAGGAGCTGGACTGCGTGCCAGCTGGCGACGAGGCTCCATGGGGTTGAATTCTTGGAGGGAATCCTTTGCTGGCTTTCCTCGTTGGTTCTCAGTTGCTCTGAGCACATCTGGGGAGGCCTCAAAGACTGATGGGGAGCTGGCAACTTCGATTTCACCCTCTGTTTCGCCATTCTTGTTTTCCTTGTCCTCATTGTCGCTGCCTGGGTCCTAGGAAAGTCAAAACAAAATGGCATTAGCGAGGGGGGAAATAGGGGAAAGGCGTTTGGATGTCAACATGAGAATTTGCAGAGGGAAAAGTTCATGAGGTTGTGGAATAAAATTGATTTTAGGGGGAAGAGGAGACATATAACTGGATCGAGTGATTTTTAGAGCTTTGTTGGGTGTTATTATTAATTATCTCTATTAAGGGGATTTATTTATTTATTTATTCAAGCATTCTAAACCAATGGATTTGATCTGATAGGAAGAGATGTTCAGTCTTTTTTAGCATTTAGAATTCATGAAAAACATTGATTTTTACATAATTTTTAATCGTTACTAAATTGAAAATGGAAAAACAAGCAAATTTTCATCTTTTTACTATCATCAAATCATTTCGAGAAGGAATGATTTTAGAAAAAATATCAGCAGTCATTTGTTTTATGAAATTCAATTACCTATGAAAAATATATTTTGACATTTCCTCAAAAAATCCCTCATTTTCGAGAGAAATCACCAATTGAAGGAAAAACGAAAAATTGAACTCAAGAAACCTCAAATCATATCGTTATTAATTATTGATAACTAAAAATTTCCAGAGTGAATATTTACAAACAAAACTTCATTTTAAAGTATTTTCCAACATGTCAAGAGGAGATTAAATTCATAATAACCCCATCATTTGTTCAGTGCCTTTCAGAGATTCCAAATTTGTTCAACTAGGCAATTGTTCTCATTTCTTTAAATACGAAATCCGTCACTTTCAAGACAAATGAACAATTGAAAAAAAAAAAGAGTAAAATTGAACTAAAAAATAAACAGCCTCTAATCAAATCGTCTTCAATTATAAATAGCTAAAAATGGACACAGTGAATTCCCACAAATCAATTTTTATTTTTAAACTGTTCTTCAAAACTTGAAAATGAGACTAAATAATCAGATTATTTATTCAGCATCTTTGCCGAATTTTTCCAACTAGTCTTATTTTTCTCAATGGTTCAAATTTTTCTCATTCCCTTAAACATTAAATAATCTCGAATAAATGACTTTAAAAAAATATAAAAATACATTTTTGTCAGAAATCCAATGAAAGGGATCACAAGGGCCACAGGGCATATGAAACTTTCCCACTAAAACCCCTTGTTTTCAACAGCAATTGCCAACAAAAATAAAACATTTTAAATCGACTTTGACAATTGCCCGGTTTTCAACGAAAATCTCGAAATCCAGTGAAGCTAGCAAAATTTTCATCACGACCTTTTTTGTAGCCCTCAAAGCCCCCCACAAAAAAGGTCATTACAAAAATTTCGTTATCTCCCCTAGATTCGGAGATATCCCTCAAAAACTGAAAATAACTGAACTGAAAAACACCAGCCTCAAATCAAAACCAATTCCAATTCACGAAAATCTTATGACTCATCCAGGCGAGCCCAGCCCCAATCTCCACAAATCAAAAATGCTAAACCAAAATGGCGTGAACCACCTGAAGCCAATTAATTCACCTGATTACGACATCCTTCAGAGCACTTGCATGTTGGTAGGCAATAAAAGTCCTTTTTGACGCATCCACAAATCTTGTTGGAGCAGTTGCCCTTGCAGGAGCAGCCCTTGTCCTTGGGCTTGATGGAAGCAGTGGAGGACCTTCTCCCTTTGGGTGTGCCAGGTGCCTCAGTGGCCTTTTTCTTAGCTGTTGTGTCTGGAGCCTGTGGACTAGCCTTCACATGCTTTCGCAGAGTCTTCACCTCGATCTTCAGGAGCTTCACCTCCTCCTGGAGACGAGCAATAATGTCATCCTTGTCCTCCTCAGGGGCCTGTGGCTCCTCCTCCTCCTCGACCTTCTTCGACTTCCTGGAACACAAAATGTCAGGAATGATTTTTTACGCATTTAAAAGGCGAAAAATCATCGAGAAATGGAGGATTCACTCACTTGAGCTTTGGAGCCTTCGGTTTTTCGGGCTCCGCTGGCTTCTCTGTCTTCTCTTTCTTCGCGCGTCCCATTTTTCGCTCTGCAATATTTGGGGGAAAACAAATGAAGAGAACTGCTGCCTTCGATCAACTGAACGCCCGGCGAGAATTGGATGCAACCGTTGTCCTCCAATATTCAAACGTTTTTGCGGTGTTGCGGACTTTCCAGCGTTGCCAAGATCACTCGATCAATAATGCAGATCGCTACCTTCTCCACGCATGACAATGCCAATCTATTCGAATGATTCGAATTCGGACGATTAATTTTAATGATTAGATGAATAGTTAATTAAATGTGAATAATTAATTTTTGAATGAAACCAATTTCTATCAGTCGCGAATAATTTGGGATAGTTTAGGAATGCAGTTTATATAGTTTAGTAACTAATTGTTTATCCAGAATTGAATACTTTTTAGGTGGTTATAGTTGACAGGTGACCGGACCGGCTTGAATTCGATGGAACATCATTTGGGAAGACCAAAAACATCGATTTAGAGTTTGGAAATTGATGTTTTTTAAAGGATATCCAAGGGTTTTTTACAGTTTGGTCCAGACTACATTATAGACTGTTAGAAAAAAATAATACAAAAAAAAATGGCTAGTTGACTATTTAGGGGGAAAAATCATGAAATTTCAGGTTTCACTGAAAATTCAGAAAATTCAGGTTAAATGACCACTTTTTCAAAAATTCATAATAAATTAACCATGTTCCCCAGCAGTCTGAAACTTTGCACACGCCTTTTCCATCATTTGAAGAATACGTATAAAATAACAGAGAAAAATGGCTGCTTTTTTTCTAACCCTCCGGGCTCGCAATTAATCAACTCTGATGATTATTCGTATTAATCAAACTAAATAATATTTTCCTCACGTCTGGAATTTTTCGCAGATTGACAACTACCCATAAAAATCATTAGTGAGAAATTCCTGTGGAACGTTTCGTGTACCAAATCCCCCAACATTTTCCAGCGACTTTCATTTTCGGCACAGACTCTCCACGATTCTCTCGCTAAAAGTGTAAAAGCGGTATTCAGTGAGATTAGATGGTGAAGATTAGAAAATTAGAATGAAGAGGATTGCTGTCGTCGATTTTTATTGAACAATCCCAGTGAGAAACTGAATGCAATCGTCCTCAAATATCCTTAGTCAAGTTTTCGAAGTATATCTCCGACTCTAAGCTAGATAGCAGATTTTTTATAATGACCTTTTCTGTAGCTCTTAATTCACTCTACAAAAAAGGTTATAACAAAAATTTTGCTATTCGCTTTGGATTCCGAGCTATTCATTAAAAACTGACCAATAGTCAAAATCGACTTGAACCGTTTTACCGCTTCGCTACTGAATATTCAAACGACTTGGTAATTTCCCCGATTTTTAAACATTATCAAGACTCCTCTACCAATAATGTAGCTCCCTACCTTCTCCGCGCATGACATATTACCAATCCCTTTGAATTCAAACAACCATTTGAATCGAATAAATAGCGCTGAAAATTTCCACGCGTTTTTACAGACAATTAATCAACTCTGATGATTATTCGTATTAATCAAACCAAATAATATTTCCTTCACGTCTGGAATTTTTCACAGATTGATAACTACCCATAAAAGTCATTAGTGAGAAATTCCTGTGGAACGTTTCGTGTACCAAATCCTCCAACATTTTCCAGCGACTTTCATTTTCGGCACAGACTCTCCACGATTCTCTCGCTAAAATTGTATAAAGCGGTATTCAGAGATTAGATAAGCCTCGCCGCCACTCTCGGTTCATAGTGCGTTCGGGATGCAGACCACATAAGAGACCGTGTATCTCATCCGTCTGCCTCAGTTTACAAACGTCGCGTGCACAGCCAGTGGAGTACCTGAAGCCCATCAGCCATCCGTCGAAAGTTCCGACAACCCCTAAAAATCGTGAACTCTCCCCAAAAATGTTGGAATCTGCATAAAAATTCAACTTCCCCGAGCTGAATACCCTGCCGTTACCAAAGACATTAGTCATGGACTTCGCAAAAAGAACGACAACCAACCCCTAGTGCGCAAACCACCCGTCGCCATCGAATAGTCTTCAGACAAAAAATAAATAAATCTGAAGATGCCGGCGTGTGCCAGTGACAGCATGACGCGTTTCTACCCGTCGCCGCCGCCGTCGCGGAGCAGTAGTGCCTCCCCGACCCTCTCCAGCTCCCCCATATCGAGTTTCCCTCCCAAGTCGTCGCACCTTGGGACCGCGCACCGCTCTAAATCGACCTTCGCCGCAAGTTCCACCTCCACCAGGTCGCAGTCCTCCTCGCAGCCGCGACCCCCGAGGCGTCGCCAGGAGGTGCCTCCCTCCAGCGCGAAGAACCAGCCGCCGCGACCCCAGGAGGTCACCCTCCTCGCGATCCTCCTGTCCCTGCTCTCCCCGAGGCGCCTCGTCAGCTGGTACTTCAGCCTCCTCTTCAGCCTGATCTCCAGATTCTACGAGGCAGTCGTCTTCACGATCCGCGCGCCAGCGCTCTGGGCGTCCGCCTGGCTCTGCCTCTTCGTGGTGATTCTCCAACTCCCCCTGACCCTCCTCAAGTGGTTCCTGATGCTGCTCTACACCCCAGCCTCGGAACTCGCCAGGAGCAAGCGCTGCGTCCTGATCAGCGGTGGCAGCACAGTCCAAGCAGTCCACCTGGCCCGAAACTTCCACAAGGCAGGTGCGCGCGTCGTCATCTGCGAGGTGGAGGGCCTCTTCAGTCTCGCGAGATTCTCAACCGCTTGTTCCAAGTTCTACACAGTCCCGAAGCCGGGACCCGGCAGCGCTGTCGAGTACGTGAAGGCCCTGAAGACCATCGTCGAGAAGGAGAAGGCGGTGTACTACATTCCGGTGTCAGCAGCGAACGCGGCGTACTACGACGCTCTGGCGAAACCGCACCTGGAGATCGCCGGATGCGAGTGCTTCGTCCCAGGTGCCTGCGAGGTCACCGCCCTGGACGACCCCCTGGAGCTCCTGAGGAGGTGCAGGCTGCTGGGGCTGACTAATCCGATCCACTTCGTCCTGAGGTCCACCGAGGATGTAACCACCCTCTATGAGACCGGCGCCCTCAGGTCGGGACGTCACGTGATGCTGGCGGCGGGTCCGGCCGGCATGCGGGATCGAGCCAAAGTCCAGCTGCCGCTCAACGCCGAGGAGTTCAGGAACATGCGGCAGGAGATCAGCGAGAGGCGGCCGTGGGTGGTGATCCGCGATCCCGGCGGTCCGCACTTCATCACCTGCACGACCGTCAAGGACTCCAGGGTCGTGGCCAACGTGACCTGCAGGGTCGACGAGGACAGGGGCCTGATCCCCGAGGTCCGCGCTGACGTCACCCAGTGGCTGGACAGGTTCTTCGCGAGGTCCTTCAGCAGCAGGATCAACGGACACCTCAGCTTCAGGCTCGTAATCTCAGGTGACGACGAAATCGTCACCATTGGGTGCCGCGTCGGCGTCGGCATGCCCTACGTCTGCCTGACCAGCGTTCATCCGAGGCTGGTCTGGCGGCCCTGCAGGCACTTCTCCAGGCAGCATTCGGGCCCGCTACTCGTCGGTGAAGCCTACGACGGACGGGACGCATTCTCCAGTGCCATCAAACAGGCGTCGAGTCTGAAGGCGAGTCCGCATCGCTGCGCTATTGATAAGAGAGAAGCGCTCTTCGTCTACTGGGATCCGCTACCCTATTGTGTTTACTATCATCTTCAGTTGCCACTTCTGAGGATTGCTGGGGCCATTCGCGAACGCACACAGCACAATCCACCGTTGGCGGTTGTTGTGCAGTGATTTGGGGATCGCGGGTCAAAATGACACACGCAAATGTTAACACAAATAAATTCAATGCAATTGCAACGCAATTAAAATGAAATTATCAACGGGGTCATCGAAATCAATAAATATTCACTTCTGGCATGAGAATTCATTAAATGAAAGATTAAAAAAATATGAACAATACAGTGAATTGCATCGATACGTGAGGAAGTATAAAATATCGAAAGAAAAGAACGATAATCCAGTGTATTGCGGCAATAAATGAACACATTAAATGAGTACATCGGCAGATTCAATAAATTGACATCGAATTACAATTAAACTAATCACAAAAAATAATATCATACTAGGCAACACTTCACAGTTTCTTTGAAATCAACACCCAATACTCATAATCACAAAATAGTATATTTTGGGATATCTGTCTCAAAAGTGCACTTTTCGAAACGATTTAGTGTGCGTAAAACAGTTGTTTTCCGCACCGCGTGCGTAAACTTCACGAGCGTACGAAAACAACCACATTACCCCCACTACCGTTCCGAACAGTGAACTCGGCAGGTACCACAAAAAATAGGATGTGTTACACGTGCGTGTGAAAAAGTGGAACTTTACGCACTAGTAACAAAATATACTATTTCGTCAATTATTATTTTGGTGTTTTCGTATATTTTGGCCGTGTGACGAACGATATTTTTTATCAGCACGGCTGTAGGTAGTGATTTACGGAATCGTTGCGGCGGGAATGATAAAAAATATTATCATCAACAATACTTATTCGAATGTCAATTACGCTGACGATTCAGGTACTCTGAGAATACTCTGAGGGATCATGTTACTAATCTCTTAATTATTATCACAAGTAGGGATTACTGAGGTGACACAAAATTCAAATACACACACACACACACGTGTCAAATTTGTATATGTTAAATTGCCAAGTGTTGAAAATGCATGTGTTGAATTTGTTTGTTATATTGACTGGTAATAGATCCAGAAATTTTTGGTGGGAAATCGATTCATCGATAAATCGGTCGGTAATGAAGAGCTCCATGCCCTTTTCCCATCGCTCAATCTCCGCTGCATTTGCATTGTCGGTTCAGTTGATTTATCGAAATGTTGTGAAATATTTATTGAAGTCCTTGTTTTTCACTCTGTGAAATAGGGATTTGTACGGACAATACAAGTGAACTGTGGCGCGATCTGATTTGCCGGGAGTTTTAATTAAATTCCGAAACAGTTTGAAAATAAGAGACAATTAATTAATTTGTTTTAATGTGGAGACATTCGTCGGGATAATGAGGCATTAATGGTGGATCTGTCTTGGGTCATGAGTGTCACTATTATCGTGTATTTAAACGGATCGATTTGATTTTTTCATTATTTTTTTTTTAATTTACGATGATGAGCTGCAAGTGTGTGGGTAATGCTTGAGGTTTTAATGATATTAAAAAATGAGAGACTGAAAGAGATGCGGACTGAGTGGAAAACATTTCACTGCATTATCGCAATGCCTCGCTGATACGTCGGAATTTTATTCGCGAAAGTCCAAAAGCATTTTGTCATGAGAAAACGCCGTTTTTTTCTTCTTTGACGAGATGATTTATCTGTTATTGTATGATGATATTGTACAAATTAATTTTTTAAGGGTAGACTTAAGGATTTTTTAGCTATTGTAATAGTATTTGTACAGAATATATTGAAAATCAAAGGTGATGAATTTTTTTACTGGCGGCGGGGGGGGGGGGAATTTTACAGACAGTTGCGATTAGATGCAGTTGCTGAATGCACAGGGAGGTTTGAGTTTTTCATCGGGACTATAATCTCGGCTCTCATTCCAAGGAGCAAAGTTCTGTCGCCTCAGATGCAATGAGATTACGTATTGTTGACCTTATTATCTGCCTATTCTCAATATCGGTAGTAGGTGTGTCGGGTTGTATTTCACGAACGAAAAAGGTTTACAGAAAAAACTAGCGAATTCGCGAATTCTGTTGAGATATTTTCTGTAGAATAGCCTCGGCTCAAATTTTTCTTTTTTTTTCATCAATTCAAAATCAAACTTGAGAATTTTGAACCGAGCAAATTCTATAGAAAATATCTCAATAGAATATCTTGTGAGGAAAAATCGAATTCTATTGAATTTTTCGATAGAATATTTTTTATTGGATATTTCAATAGAAAATGTCGATAGAATTCGATTTTTCTATACAACTTATTCTATTGAGTTGTTTTCTATAGAATTTCTGCAGCTGAAATTTTCCAAGTCTTTTTAATTCTGTTTTTCTTTTCATTAAAAAAATCAAACAAAAGAACTTGGGGAATTGGAGCCGAGGAAATTCTATGGAAAATATCTCAATAGAATAAGCTGCCAGGAAAAATCGAATTCTATTTTTTCTATAGAATATTTTCTATTGAACATTTCAATAGAAATCGGCCAAAAATTAATAGAAAGTTCAATAGATACCCAATAGAATTATCTAGCGAATTCACTTGGTTTTTTAATGAAATTTTTTCATACATGAATAGCGTCTACGAAGAGGATCTGATCATCGCCCACGAAAAAATTTAGTAGAAAAACCTAGCGAGTTCGATAAACAATTCTATTAGATTTCTATTGAATTTTCTATTAGTTTTTGGCCGATTCTATTGAAATATTCAAGAGAAAATATTCTATATAAAAAGTCAATAGAATTCGATTTTTCTCTTCTTTTTATCAAGAAAATTAAAAAAAATAATTGAGAAATTGAGTGAGGAAATTCTGTAAAAAATATTTCAATAAAATAAGCTGTACAGAACAATAGAATTCTGTTGATTTTTTCTATAGAATATTTTTTACTGAATATTTCAAAAGAATCGACCAAGAACTAATAAAAATTATAATAGAAATCCAATAGAATTGTTTTGCGAATTCGCTAGGTTTTTGTATTGAATTTTTTCACACGTGATATTTGAAATAGATTGGCTCATGCAAAGATGATAGTATTATAAAGAATGGGTACATTTAATAAATAAATGACTGTTTATTAAAGATGTTGAGGCAAAAAAGCTTTGAAGAAGGCGATTGCTGCCCATTTTGAGAAGGGAATGACGAAAATTTTATTTTTATAAAAATTGCCTGAAGGATATTTTCTTTTCGTTAATAAGAGTGAATGAAATAGGTTTCAACTTTGACTAAATTGTCTCAATTTTTATCAAAAAAATTTGCAAAATTGGAGCCGAGGAAATTCTACAGAAAATATCTCAATGGAATAAGTTGTATAGAAAAATCAAATTCTATTGACTTGTCCTACCGAATATTTTCTCTTAAATATTTAAATAGAATCGTCTGGAAACTAATAGACAGTTCAATAGAATTGCCCAGCGAATTCGCTCGGTTTTTCGACGAAATTTTGTCATACCTGTTATCATACTCGAGAGACATTCAGTATCAACCAGAAATATTGTATCGATTATTTCACAAGGATCACAAAAATAGAAGAAAAGATCGTGAAATCAGTAGAATTTTTTTCAAGTTTTCAAGAGTTCTCAAGAGTTTTTTTTCCGCGTAAATTGAAATGAAAAAATTTTGAATTCCTGAAGAAGTTTAGGAATGATCTTATACTCATGAACAAATATGCATAAGGGATTTTGCTGATGACTGGCGCTTCGTCGGCGGACTTTGATATGACGGGGTCGTCTCACAGCGATGCCCGCCCGGCCCCGCGTTATCACTCCTCAGTTTCTCCGGCAATATTTTTTTCCCCCTTTTATTTTCATAATTCATAATTTCTTTCCACAGACATATGACAACATGCAGTCCCACTCGTTCCCCCGCTTTTCTCGCTGCAATGATAAATTTTACTGTGGTCTAGGAGAATTGATATGGGCGTTAATGTGACGTTTATTCTCATTCAACTTGTTTTACATTCATTCATTATTCATTTCTTATCGGAAGTGCTCGATGTTTGAGAAATTTAGTTATCTAAATTTCTATAAATAAAAAAAATAAAGGGGTTCCTAATTGTTTGTTTTTTGATAACTTTGGCCAAAATATTTATGTTATGATTCAGATGATTGTGTTTTTTCTACAACGATATCTCATTTTATACGATTGAGTGATTGCAAATAAAGAGAATAGATCTGATTTCGAAAAACGGGCTATCATATTCGTAGTCAGCATCTAGCTTATGAGAATATGAGTTATGATTATGAATTTACGAAACTTGGGTCAAGTGACAGAGTTGCTCTCCCAAACTGCTCTTCCAAACTTGTTACTCTCCCACGTGAAATGAGGGATGAACTGCATTTCATCCACCTATCACTCTCCCATGGAAGAGTTATTGTTTCTGCGAATTTTCGTTCTGAGAGGTCAACTCTTCCAGGAAAACAATTCGTATGGGAGTGCCACTGTAGCAGGACAGCTATTCTCCTAGGAGGGCAACTCTCCCAGGTAAGATATTCTCTCAAAAGTTACTCTCCTGTTTGAACATTATGATTGTAAATGTCAAGAGGAGAAGCAAATCTCGAGGGAGAGTAGCTCTCCTGGAAGCGTAAATTTCCTGGGAGAATAACTCTCCTGGGAGAGAGACTCTAGTGGGAGGTGACTCGAGTGGGAGCGTAACTCTCCTGGGCGAGGAAATTTCCTGGGAGAGAGACTTTATTGGGAGGGTGACTCTACTAGGAGGGAGACTCTACTGGGAGAGTGACTCGAGTGGGAGAGTAACTCTTCTGGGAAAGGGAATTTCCTGGGAGAGAGACTCTAGTGGGAGAGTGACTCTACTGGCAGAGTGGCTTTATTGGGAGAATAACTCTTCTGGGAGTATAACTCTCCTGGGAGCATAACTCTCCTGGGGGAATAATACTCCTGGGAGAATAATTCTTCTGGGAGGGTCACCCTCCCGGGAGTGTCACTCTCCTGGGAGAATAATACTTCTGGGAGAGTAAGTCCCCTGGGAGAATAATTATCCTGGAAGAATAATTATCCGGGGAGAGTGGCTCTCCTGGGAGAATAACTCTCCCAACGATTGTCCCCACTTTCCATGCGTTCCTTATGACTGTTTGACCCTTTTGATAAGTCCTCCGCTCCCTCCCATATGACTCTCGAAATATCTTACCCATGTTCCATTTTGCCCCGATGTCGTTATTATTATTATTATTATTATTATTATTATCATTATTTTTCTGCACGCCACATCGTCGTGTTTTGATAAATAGCCCCCCCTTGTCCATTCGTCCGACAGTGACGAACGAGGGAGACATAAATAAAACAAATAGGTAAAAAAGGAATACCTAAAAGACTAAAACTACAGGAGAGTGGATTATCACGACCACGGGTTCTTCCTTGAAGTTTTATTATCACGAGTTCCTTGACGACCGAGTTAAATAAATCGATACTTGTAACAAACCGAGAGCTCCATCTCATTTTCTTTATTCCTCCCGCTTTTTAACGACTTTTTCCCTTTTTCTCTCAATTCCATTTCTTCCTCTTCGCTAATAAAAAAATTGAAGTTTCGAGGCATGAGGTCGTTCATCCTCATATGGGATTCCATCACGCAAATCAAGGGGAGAGCATTGTCAGGAAGCTGTTGACATGAATTTTCATCACTCAAGATTCATAACGAATAACGAATAAAAAATTACGTATCTAATTTGTTCATTCATCAACTGATAAGCGACTGAAAAAATGATTCATAGTTGATGATTTGCAGGAATGCGAATATAATCGTATTACCAAATAGCTGATAACCTTTTTTTTGCATCAACAGAATTTTCATATCTTTATGGATTTAATAATAATTCTCGATTGGATAATTTACGCAGTTTGATTCGAGGAAAATTTACACTACACAGAGATTCATAGGTGAATTTGAAATTTGTGTGCCACGAGGCACCAGGTACGAATCCACTAGTGGGAACCGATTCACCCGGTTTTCACATACCAATGCCCATATCAGCAGAATTATTTCACCCCCGGGGAATGTTTTTTTTTCACCCGTGAACACTCATTCGATTCATGAATTAAGTGGGTAATTGTGGAAGAAGCATATGTATGTATCCGTTACGATAGCCGAAACTCACCCTGGCCGAGGTCAAGGTTACAATTATTATTGTTTTCTTCGGGATAATGTGATCAGTGAATTCATGAAATTTAGGGGATGGAAATTTTTTAATGCAATAGGTGATACGAGAAGATATTGGGAGATTTTTTTGGGAATTGATTCTTTTTTTGGGAGAGATCGTCGAAATAATCAGGGCGGTAGACACTCGGGAGGGGCTAACGGGAGGGATGGGTTGAATTATTAGAGGAGTCAAACAGTCATAAGAGGCGAGTGGGAGATGTGAGAAAAACGATCAGGAGAGGGTTGCGCACCCAAGGGGGTACTCTCTTCGGAAAGCTGCCCTTTCAGAGGAGAATTTGCTGGGAGAGTTAACTTTCCCAGGTGGGCCAACTCTCCGAGGAGAGTTTACACTTCCAGGAGAGTTGACTCTTCCAGGTGGGCTAACTCTCTCAGGAGGGTTGACTCTCCCGGAAGAGTTGACTTTCCCAGGAGAGTTGATCCTTCCAGGAGAGTTGGCCCTCCCAGGAGAGGTGGCTCTCCTAGGGGAGTTTACTCTCCCAGGAGAGTTGACTCGCCCAGAAGAGTAGACTCTGCCAGGAGAGTTGGCCCTCCCAGGAGAGTTGGCTTTCCCAGAAGAATTGACTTTCTCAGGAGAGTTGACTTTCCCAGGGGAGTTTA